CCCCCCCCCCCCCCCCGCCTGGGACCCTAACCAACTTTCAGGATATCTCGAAAACTAAGATCTACGACCTCAAAATTACCTTGGGTACCAGAGGTTTTTTCGGTTTCACACGTGTGACGAGGAGCTTCGTCGGTAAAGACTTAACTAGCCTGCGTAGCAGGCGTCGAAAGGGGTAGGGGATATAGAGGAAGAGAAAAAGGAGAGGGGTGAGACTTCACCGAAACCGGAAACCGCGCATGAAAAGCCTTTGGCACACAAGGGCATACTGATCCATACTGATGCAAACTCTCCCGGATTTGAGCTTTTCTGTGCGTAAGTTTGAGATTTAGCCTATTTTAACTCAAAATTTGAATTTTTCTCATTCGTAATACTGTTTCTTGGGCATTGTTGCACGTATTTAGTCACTGACAAAGATTATTTCGGCAAGATCGCAAATTTTGATAGTATGTTCTGCATGTAAGACATATAATGTCCTAAGCGGGGTTCATTGAAATTCGGGGGGTGGGGTACTAAAAAAGAGAGTGTCTCCAGGTTTTAGATCTCCAGGGGTTAGCATCTGCCAGGGTACCTAAAAAACTGAGACCTCTTAAAGCCAAAAGTGCTACAGTAATAAAGTTGTAGACTTAAAACAGTAAACTGATCCTTACGGCAGGAAGAGTGACAGAAAAAAGAAAGAAGGAAAACCAAAATAAAGTGGTGAATTATATTTTCCCGATACTTAGTCGGTTTGTAACATTACACAAACCTTCAATGGGGGCTATATAGCCAAAAAAAATGACTTTGCTTCCTTTCAAACTTGATCGCGTCTGTTTCGACCCGCTCAATTTGTCAAATGTCACCGAGGCGAAGTCTAGGTGACTATTCACTGATATTCATGTCGCCTTCTTTTACTAATTGTTAATTAATGTTTTTTGACGTTGTCGTTGTCATCGTCGTTGTCGCGGTTGCTTAAACTCCCTAATGTTAAAAAATACAGAAAAGGAATAAAAACGACCTGTTCCCTGAAACGTTTGTGCGTTCTAGTTATTCCCTTACACAAGTTAACATTTTTTTGGTTTTGGCCCTGGCTGAAATAGGGGTTAAATTTAGAATTATCCTTCCCTTAGAGAGCTAGCTGTATGATAAGTTACAACAAAGTTAAAAAATAGTGTTCCATTTCGCTCAATTCAGTTCTATTCAAGCCAGATCAGATTAGCAGTAACTTTACACTAGGAAAAAACTGAACAACCAACAACATTCAAATTTTTTTAATACAGCAATGAATTTGAGCAAAAAAAAAACGGAAGTAAATACATTATTTATGTTACAGTACAAAAGACAAAGAAAGGTATAGATCTTCTCTTCATTTCACATTTCTAGGAATAACTCAATTACAGGGCAAATGAATTAACAATAAAGCTACCTTGGCATAAAAATACAATTCCTAACCGATATACACTTGAAAAACTTTGAATTTCACTACATGCCACCCCTTAAAGCTAGTACAAGATGAAGAACAGATCCGCCTTGAATTTTGTAATCCGCAGCAGTCTTGTCATCATTCCTGGGAACAAAACAACAAAAAAAATACTCAGAGTCTTAAGACTGAAAAAAAACCACGTTTCCTGTGTTACAAACAAATATTCAGGACAGCCTCGACTGAGAGTCAATTCCATCTATTTGCATCAGGTACTAGAAGAAATTAATCAAGATGTTCTTTTTAAATGTACTTACCCTTTACCGCGCTTTTCACAAACAAGCAAACTCTTAAGTCCAAAAGCCGCCTCCATAATTGGGTTTTTCGCTGCCATCAATCATAATGACAATCACAAGCAATGAACCTTGAAACACAGAAACACACAAAACGGATCGAAATCCACCAATCACAGATCACAAACCATGACCTTTTGAACCTGTTTTAGTAAAGTTCCGTTTCCTAAGAGGTCCGCTAAGATGATACCCTGCCAGCAGAGGCCCTTCAATCTTTCTACTGTAGATAAGTCTTGTCTAGGAAGATCGAAGGGCCTCTGCTCGTCGGGTACTAAGATGATTGACGGCAGCAAAAAATGCAAACATCACTTGGCTTTTGAACTTCAGAGTTCACGTGTTTTTGAAAAGCACAGTAAGCTAAAGTACAAAGGACAACAAAAAGGTGCAACCTGTTTTGCAACATTGCTGCAAAATGAGTTGAAAGATCCAATGTTGCACATTCAACCACCCATGAATCAAACCTGTCTTGTCACAAATCTGATTGTTGCAAGTTGCGTGAATTACGACTTCTGATGGGATAAAATTATATGCCAGTCACACTATACATGGGATTGGCAAGTTTACTGGTAAAATCCGTTTACCACAGGTACAAATTTTGCTGCAAAAGTGTCACTTTGCTCTCCTTTCTGCAACAACAGATCAGAATCAGATTCTTGTAGGTTGTAAAAAGTTACTTTTAACAACTTGCAAGAATCTGATCAGGACAGAGTTGATTAGAGAATGCATGGTAAAATGGGTGACATCATTTTTCAACCCACTTTCCTGCGATGTTGAAAAACAAGTTACTCGTTTTTGATGCCCCTTTTGCCACAGCTTTACTTTCCACTTACCTAGCGAACTTCATGATAAGCACATTCAAAACATTAATTTCTAAGAGGCACTAATAACATTATTTTCAATTATTGTTTACTTTTCATCGAGCACTTAAGCAAAATTTTACACAACTAGAAACTTAATATGAAAATATTATAACTAAAGAACATAGTATATTCATATTTCAATTACATAAAAATTGAAAAGGTTAAACAACTACCGTATTGACTTACATTTGCTTCCCACTAAATATCAACCTGAAATCAAAAGCAAAAAAACAGAGCATTATCAGATTGCGACATAACAAGGTGCTCTACCTCAAAATTGTTTGGCATGGCAGGATTGTCAGAAATTTTTGAAGTAGAAGGCTGAGTTGTCCAAGTAAGCGGCCAGTCCAGGGATATTTTATTTAAAAAACGACATCTGTAAAGAAATGCCAAGCAGAGTAGCCAGCCGGTACTAACCAAGTTGGCGGCAATTTTTCGCTGGCAGCCGGCTACTTTTGACAACCCTCCATGCTATTAGATTATCTGCAAATGATGCCAACTATACCATGTTTTCTAAAGTGTTCTAGACAGAGAACTCATCTCCCTGTCTTCTGCACATGCACTGTCTCCTGCACATGCATGGTCCCCAAAGATTTCTCCATCATTACCATTGAAACAAACAAAGTATCACTTAAATCAATTTGTTCATTTCAAGTGCCTGATTCCCATAATAAAATTCTCAATAAAATCCAACAAAAATCATCTGGGGCTGTGTTGAGAGTTGGGTGGGGTAGGGGCTTGTGTAATCCACAAAATCTCTACATTCAGGCCTCTAAGCCTGCAGGGTTTATCATCTCTGTCTGCATCTACCAGCATTAACCATTAAGTACTGTTTGAACCATTTTGGCTTAAAGTTTTTTAAAAACTATAGTTAAATCTTTTCCTAGTTACACATTTAATGGTCCAAATTGTCTTTTATGAAAAGAAAAGAAAGTTTGAATGCCATAAACCTTAAGGAAATATTTTACGATGGTTTGAAAATTTTGAAATGTACAAGGATTTGTATGGAAAACCACTCAACCATGACTGGGTGGCAAAAGTTGTTGGCATACAAATCCTTCTAATTTTTTCCAACCCTTGCAATCGCTTCTTTTGAGATATACGACTGAAAATTTGCAGGTTAACCAATTGTAATATGCTCTTTCAGGTCCTGCTAACAAAATTTTCTAAACGCGAACCATTTTTGTTGATCACGTGATCAAGTATTGCAAAAGGCCTATTCTTAAGACATATTTAGGCAAAGTCAACCTTGAGTCAGCTCAATGAACGGTGCCCTCATTACTACCACAGGAAAAAATAACGGATTCCCATTTTTGGATATTTTTGGGTATTTAAAGAATACCCATAAAATTCCCAAATTTGGCAAAGTGAGACAAGTCCCAACCAGCGAATTCCAGACCAAGTTCCCAGATTGGGACTTGTCTCACTCTTCCAAATTTGGGATTTTTGTGGGTATTCTTTAAATACCCAAAAATATCCAAAAATGGGAATCTGTTATTTTTTCCTGTGTACAGAGTACATGACCTTCCAAGTTTTTACGGTTCTTGTGTATTGTGTATTACATGTCAGCTCTTCATTGAACCGATCTTTGCCTGATCCTGATATTCCTCTTGTTTTGCACAAATCATCACAGATACATGATTTGATGGTATTTCATATCTACTAAGTTTCTTCTTTTTTCATGGTCAATGTGACGATGCGTGTTAGCCACCACTGCAGGTCTACCAGGGTGGTTTCCGCTTTCTCAATTACTGGGATACCTCTTTACTTTGTATTGCAACAGGCCCCCCTCAAACATTTAGGCACCATTTTTTACACTTGTCAATAATATTAGTGATGAATTAACAACAAATAATTATTGATTGAAAACTTGCTCCGCTATAATAAAGTCATTTGAAACTTTCCAGAAGAAGGCACTGAAGTATGTATTCTTAGTACTAGAGTGCTAACTCTTATAAAATAAAATGAACACTTTTTTACACATTTATTACCAAGTGGCTTAACTATTTGTCTCGAAGAACTCCCCCCCCCCCCAAAAAAAAAAAAAANTTATATGGAAAAAGAAAATCTTTGATATAAAATTCAAATTAAAACTTTTCAGCAAAATTATCATGTGGCTTAACTATTTTGTCTCTCAGTATCTCAAAAAATGAAATTCAGGATTTTTGGAATATTGGTTTTGGCCAGTAATAGAAACGAATGGCTACAATGTGGCCTTAAATCCATTATAATAAACCACCAACCTCTGCTGTGGAGGGGGAATTCCTTCCTTTTCTTCAACGCGTTCTTTTATTCTTTCCACCTGTTTTGAAACGGGAGAAAAATTTTGAGAGATAAGATATTTTTAGATATTTTTCTTCAGTTTAGTAGTAATTAAAGGTCTTGAAAATAAAATAAAATTTTGAAAGTAATACAGTCCAAAAATAATTTGAACTCTAATATATAATCGTTTTAATTCTTTTTAATGGCAAATCACATTTTCTGAAAATATAGCAAGATAAGTATTTTATAAAACCATCCCGGTTATAAACAATTACACCAATTTGAACTTAAATGCACTGGCAATAGCACTACCTTTCCCTTTGACTTCAAATTCTAGATAATACAGCAGTTTCTCTCAGCTCATGCAATCTAAATGCACTTAGCAGCTTCTACCATTTTGACTTTTTGGGGCTCTATTGAGACCTAATGACAGCTACTTTTATTGCAAATGTTTTTTACTGGTTTTGCATGAACATTTTTCCTCATTTCTCTGACACATATGAAAAAAAAAAAAAACAACTATAATTTTACTGAAAAGGAAAACAATGCAACCTGATACATTGCTCACAATATTATAGTACTCTTATACTGTTCTAAAGGTAGATGTAATCATTATCATTGTATCTACCTTGTCTGTGGGTTCAATATCAATCTCAATCTAAAAATCCAAAGAAAAAAAAACAAATCTGATTAAGATTTTATACAATAAAAATCTATCCAGGCCAGACTGGTTATTTCAATACAGTTGAGATTATACAAAATATATTTTATACAGCACCTTAGTTTCTCAAATCACAAGCATGTGCAACTGACACACTTTTGTTCAGTACTATATCTACTAGGTGTCATTTGAAATGGCATTTGTTCTTTCCTGAATAGCTTAACATGTAGTTCTGATTTACGGAATTCAACTGAGGATAATAACGTATTCAATTGCACTCTTCTTGCAATCTATAAAAATACAGTAAAAAGCTTCCAGAAACATTTTGTGAAACAACTTAAAACTTTGTTTAACTAAACTGATTTAAAGCATGTTTCAGCTTTGGGGTGAATGCGGCTCTAGATGACCAGATCAGTGACAGTTGAAATTTTTAAGAATTTCATATTTCTAAATGACGCCTTCAAAGAAGATAATTAACCAATGATATCATAGGGCCGGTGCTTTCCACTGATTAGTGAAAAGGACATGTGGATTCAATTCTCTGATGGAAAATGTTGTCGTTGAGGTGCATAGCGTGTTGAGTGAAATCAGAGTACACATATCTGCCTACCCGATCCAAAGAGACGTACGTTGTACATGTACATAAGGTTACATTACAACTTGGATTAAGTTAATTAACGTTTGTACAACTATAAAATTTCTATCAAGCAATTATGTTGCAATCAAGCTGATAAAGAAAGAGTTGATTTTTATTCTCTTGTCTTTATCGATAGCAGCATCAGTAGATAAGATCAGATAAATTTATTTATACACAAGTTTAAAAATAATCATTGAGAACTATCTCACGATAGGTAGGTTTAATTTAAGACAGGAAAATGAAAATATCTTACCTCCTTTCCTGTCAGGGTCTTCGAAACATGGCAACAAAACATACGAGAAAATAACGTTAAAACAATTAAAATAACGTCCAAAACCTTCACTGGATTATAATTACCTTAACTTTGATAAGCATGACGGAAAAAAGTTCCTTGTAACTGTAAAAGAGTGTAAAAGCAGTGAAAATGTGGAAATTCTACAGCTTGCTGATCTTGCTGATGCCAATGTGAATGTTAGTACTGATCGCTGGCTCAATATCCTCTGAGAAAGAAAGCGAGGAAGCTGGTAACTAATAGGCTGTACTCAGCTGATCAGTGATGTCTGCGGACTCTTCCCCCTGTTGCCCTCTTTGTTCTGGCAGCCATTTACAACTGATTGTGTGAAAACACAGTCGAAGAATCCGTTTCCATCTTGTAAGAAGGAGCGGTTTTTATAACAGTTCATCATGTTTTTTACATTAGGGAAATTCATGTTTCTATTTCTTTTAATTTTACCCTCATCGCTGGTCCTGATTGGAAATGGTAAGGCACTTTATCTTGCGTGATTTTTACTCTTTTGTAACTTAGGAAAGTCAGTCTGGATACTCCAACTTTCGAATCCCTTAGCGTCCAGTGATGTTTTAGGCATTTGGAATGATCGTACCAATGTAGAGCTAGTAACAACTTGAGAGTTGCAATTCGGGAGATTGTTTCGCCGACGAGAGTGTTTTATTTTCGACCTCGCAGCAACTCTCGAATCTTGCTTCTTTCTCTCTGTTCTTTGATGAACAGAAGTTGTTGCCTTTACGTTGGGCGAATGATTTCCTTTGTTTTGTCTGAGGACTAGATCTTAATCAATAAACAGACCGTTAGAGAATAGCAGTTGAAATGTCATGCATACTTCACTCACAATGTTTCCTGTTTAAAACAAACGTTATTTTTATCTTCGTTTGTGTACGTGTCATGAAATTATTGGAATATAAACAGACATATGTGTGATGGCGCGAGAAGACGAGGTCGAAAATGAGCAAGAAGTTGCAAAACCGACTGAAGCTGAAGCCGCAGGAGATGAAGAATATGTTGAAGATGTTGTAGAAGAAGAAGTTGACGATGGAAAGGTTAGAGTTATAAGAGTTACTGATGAATGTGTAGACTTCTCCCCAGTGTTATTTTTATTGTTAACTTGCTTTTATAAATTGATACAGTTAAAGCTTTTATGTGAAGTCATGGTTCAGTTATTTCATCCCATACCTTTACTGCCAGTCTCTCTTTGGTAACTGCATCAAAGGGAATCTCATTTGTTGTGTTCATTTTCTGATTATTATTATAGAGAGTGAATAAATGAAACTGTACTGGGTCATTGAAAAACAACATTAGAATTAAAATGAGCACTAAAGTAATGAAAGTATTTGTTTCAACAACCTGATCAAGGGACTTTCAATAGTATGTAAAATTAACAAAACTGTAAATTCCTTTTACTGACTAAAATGCTCTGTAGACCTGTGGGCATGTCTATCTTTTAACATAGCTCACATTTTGAGGTATTTTTGCATTATTTTTGGGTTAATACCCAGTTTCAAAATCATTCTGATTCAAGCTATAGGTGTAATGTGATTTATTCATGAAATTTGGCTATTTTCCAGTATTCACTCCTTATATTGTTGTTCTTATTTCATTATCCAAGCCTTACACCTTTATGTTACTGCAGTTCCCTATTTAAAATAATGCATTTTGACAACTTAAGTTCCAAAAGTAACTAAAACTTTAGTTTTAATGGGTTTTCACATAAGCAGTATCAAATGGTAGTTTTCATGGGTTTTCTCATAAGCATTATCAAATGGTAGTTTTCATGGGTTTTCTCATAAGCAGTATGAAATGGTAGTTTTCATGGGTTTTCTCGTAAGCAGTATCAAATGGCATTGAGAGCTGTCCAGTAATATTTATATCTAGGGGTATCAACATTGTTCAGGCAATGTTGACCTTAGTTGATATTTGTTACATATAATTTACTAACCGTACCAGAGACCAAATAACCCATATTCAGCTGTAATTTTGAATGCTATGTTTGCAGTATTATGCCTTGTTAAGATCATTACTTTTCATTGTATATAAAGGTGGTTTTGTGGTTAAGTATTTGTTAGTGGCAGAGTTCCAATTTGCATTAATTTGGCAAAAACAGGTTGACACTGAGGAAGAGGAGGAAAAAGAAGACAGTCCTGCCAAAAAAGACACTGTAAGTAGTGATTTCATTAGTAGAGAGATTAAGAGTCACATTTACAGCAAACGACAAACGTCAGATTCAAGTTGAGAATTTCTCAGAATAAAAAATAAGCAGATAAAATCTGTACAGAACAATAATTTATTATTTATAAAACTGGCGTGAGACTACTTGCTTTTTATCTGAAGTAATAAATAGTTAACAACAATTAAGGGAAGAACTTGGTCACATGGTACAAATTCCCTTTTGCCTTTTGGTGTAAACGTGAATCTTAATCTCTCTAATCATTGCTTTTTTTACCTGCACCTCCTGCAGGTTCCAGTGAAAATGGGATTGTTTTATGTTTTAAATTGTAGCAACTTTGAGTTGACCATTTTCATAGAGAATATTCTGAACTGGCTGACAAGAATGATTTTCTGGGTGTCTTGACTTAGAAATTTATTTGTTGAAGTAGATAAGACGACATTTTCAGTTAATACACAGGAAAAAATTGCAAAAAAACATCAAAGGTTTTTTTGAAATTCCCACTCATTGTTAAAAACCATTAATGGTTTTTATAGGGAATTAATTTTTTTAAGTGGAAAAACATTAATGTTATTTCGAATTTATGAATGTTTTTTTAACAATTAACATAAACAGTCTAGAAGTCATGGATGGGTTTACAATAATAGCCATGAATGGTATTTTATACAGAATAAAACCATTGTTGTGGGTTTAAAATACCATTAATGTGTAATTTATGAAACCATTCTTGGTGTAATCAATTCCCAATAATGTTTATATGTTACCCATCTATGTAAATATCTTTAAACACTAATGGGATAATACATCATTATTGTGCTTTTAAAATACCATGAATGTGTTTTTTTTTACTTTTGCAAAACAATTCTTGGTGTAATCAATTCCCAACAATGTTTATGTGTTACCCATTTATGTAAACACCATTAAACATTTATGGGATAATACATCAGTACAAACCATTGATGTTATTAGAAAAGAACGCAAATGTTATGATACTTTAAACCATTAATGGTTTGTCTCCATGAGTTGAAAAACCATTAATGTAAGGATTAAAACATAAATGGTTTGTGTCAAACTTTAAAAGCATTCATGTGAATTCCAAAGACCATGCTTGTATTTTGAGATTCTTTCTCCCAAAACCATTCTTGGTATAAACCATTTCCCAACAATATTGGTATTTTACCCATCCAACTAAATGCTTTAGCCACTGATGGAACAGTACATCAACAAATCCAGCAATTCCAATAAAAGAGGTAATGACTACATTTTGGTATCATAAATTAACATTTTTAATGCAAAATTCTAGTACTGGTATTCCTTAGAGGGGATTAATTACATCTGTCATTATGGTGTTACTGCAGGTAAAGTATTTTGTTGTTAAGCTGACAGTTATTGACAGTTATTGAGCACATGCTATCTACATAAAAGGCATCATTTCCCAAGTGTTCCCATTCCATTCTCCAATTGCCACACACACAATTGCATTCCAGGATACTTGGTCTAAACAGGCATTTCTCTCAGAGACAAATACATCAACAAGAATGGAGCCAACTTCTCTTTCCCCATTTCTGATGTAATATCGGACCTTAGCAAGTTGATTAGTTACATCCACAGTCATTACTTCTCCAAGCCATGGCTCAGGATCAGTTCCATTGATCAAAACCATATCTCCTCGCTCAGGGTAAAATGGAACGACAATATCGTGCTCAGACAATGGCATACTCTTCCTCATAAAGTCAATAACAACTGACTCTTGGGGCTCAAAAGGATTGGAAACAACCATAACCTTTCTCAAAATACATGTTACGGGTTGAATAACCATTTTAGGGAGGCTATCTTTGCATAGAATAGGAAAACCAGTTTCAGAAAATATCACAATGTTTCCATTTTCATCAAGCTTACTAGGAAGAAACTGGCCTTGGACAAATCTGGTTGCCTGGTAGGGCACTAGAATTGTAGTCATAGACATCATCCACGTGCACAGTAATGGTGACGTTGTCCCCGGTAGACAAAGGGGATGAAAATTCATCAATGCCTGAGTCGTTGTGTGAATCACTGGGTTCTTCATTTCTGTTTGAAACAAAGGAATACTTGTGATCAGGTGCAACCTCAAGAGAATACAAATGATTGTGGATATTGCCCATTTATTTGTATATCAAAAGCAGTCATGTATACATGTTAAAATGATGAGCCTATATTTTTGTGATTACCTGGGTAGCCCAAGATCACCAATGGCTTGTTGTTGTTGCCAATGAGAATATTCCAGGGAACGTGCAACTGCAGCACCATTGCAGCTGGAACAAGGGCAATGTACGTGTCTAGATTTTAACTGTGAACAGTTACAGCAGACAATATCATCTCTTGACCAAACATAAGGTTCAAATCTTCGTCTTTTAGTTTCCATAATATCGGGCAGCTGGCTCACGACGGGTAAAAAACAAAGATCAGTAACGCCGAATTTCCCGCGCGAAGATATCCTGTCGATGCCGATCCTTCACCATAATTTCAAAAAGCCCTCCAAAGGAAACGTCAATCGAAAACGCCAAATTTCCCGCGCGAAGATAACCTGCACCAATCACACCCCAGCTTTTTTTTTATCAACCAATCAGGTTGCGGAATGACGGTGAAGATCCCGTGTTTGATCCCGGCGTTGTTCATTCCACCCATGAATTGTGCAAGTGAGGACGTGACGGTTTTGAATTGGTCTTCTTTATTCTTCGTTTGTTGTTTATTGACAACCATGGGTGAAAATGAAACGTCCAGTTCCGTACAAGAAATGAATATCCAAGAAGTGAAGGATTTTATTGCGAAAGAATTCCAATTAGAAATTGCCGAGAAGTTCGAAGGTAAGCTTGTGTCGCATTGTGTTTTTCGCGCCATTTTACACTGCGTATGATGGTCCGTTTTTTCTTTCCGATAACCTACTAGTATTTGAAAAAAGGCCTGAAACTTTTCAATTCAGCTTTGGGTTCATTATTGTGCACTTCGAATTAACTCATATTAAACGTGATCGAGTTTTTATCGCTCTGCCTTGGGGGAAAACTGGTCATTCACTGAAAGTTTTGGCGCGAAAGAAAGAAACGTCATTTTTGAATAAAGATGAGATATTAAGTGCTGTTAAGTTATTAAGATTTAATTTAACCTTACTTTAGTTATCTTTGCAACTTTTCTATAGTCTGTTAGAAGGGCTAGAAATCGTTCACATGCCAATTCAAAGATGGCGGCCGCAATCTTAGATCGATCAACATTCGATTCGTTCCTTCACATTCGGTTCATAGTTGGTGTGTTTTGTTATTGAAAAAAGTTTAAGTTTACCTGTACTATGTACAATAATTTCCTCTTCTTGTTCTTTTTTCTGCAAACAGCGCAAAAAATTGACGGCAAATCCTTATTATTGCTATCAAAGAAAGCAACAAGAGAACAGTACGAAGCCTGCGGGCTGATGACAGTTGGTGACCAACTTAAACTAACCACGCTGGTCAACGCAAGCGCCGATATAGATGAAGCGTCGAGTATTGTGATCACCGCAGTTAAGGCAAAAAAGCCGTCGAAGGCCCAGCTGAATGAAATCAGCGATATGAATAGAAGAATTTACAAGACGAAGTGAGTGATATAAGCTGGCAATTAAGCTTTCCATGCCTGTAACTTAAATTTCTCGAGCACGACTCCAGAGTTTGTATTTCAAATTTTGCGTTGTTTAGCTTTTCATCATCAACACATGAACACTGGCTTGAATTTGAGAACGTTATTATTCTAGGTTGTAAACACGGTGTAAATTTTTTTTTACAAATATACTTCCTGCATTATTTCATTTCTGCTTTTTATTTGTAAGCCCCAAGTTTTGCGGGTCGATCATTTCGGAAACGATAGCTGAAACGAACTGATTATTGTACACATGTATCCTTTGTTAATGTATCATTAAAAGTTGAAAGTTTATAGCCTTGGATGATTATGGTTGGTTTTAGTGGTGAACTGTTAGAAGTGTAACCTTAGCTTTGCGGAATTGGCGATTTCCATGATAACTATATCAAAAAAAAATTCAGTGCAGAGGATTATTAAGAAGTTAATTAACTAACCACAAATCCACTTGGATGTTTTCAAATTTCTTTTGATGGGAACTAAAATATCACAAGTGAGAATGGAGATTGCTAATTCTCAATAACGGTTTTTACATTACCTTTCAAAATAAAAATTTTATTCCAATCATTCATGTTAACAACAATATAAATAAACATTGATGGGTTTTCCTTCATCATGGGAAATGACAATTTCCCAATGACAGCTAGTACATTAAAATAATCTGAACATAAAACAGTAAAAAACATTGTTATTTGAATTACCATTAATGTTAAGCTATTAATTCCCAATGAAGGTTTATAAATTACCATTTATGGCAATTTGATTCCTACCATGGGTTTTCTTTCATGGGAAGTAGCAATTTCTCAATAACACTATTAAAATAACCTGAATGTTAAAACAATAAAAGATGATGTTATTATTTGAATTACCATCTATGGTTAAGCTATTTCCCAATAATGGTTGATAAATTACCATTTATAGTAATTTGATTCCTACCATGTATGGAATTAAAATGGCAATAAACATTGATGGGTTTTTCTTCATGGGAAGAGGCAATTTCCCAATAATAGAACATTAAAATAACCTGAATGTTAAAAGACTAACAAACATTATTGTTAATTTGAATTACCGTCAATGTTTGAAAAGAATTTAACATCAATGATACATTACATAAAACCATCAGTGGTAAGTTGGCACTAACCATCATTGGAATTTGTAATTAACATTTATGTGAATTTTGAAAGAAAAACATTAATGGTAAGTGTCCAACTTTAACATTTATGTTTTTTTTCCTTGGGAATTGATGAAATCCCATTCGATTTTACATCAATGATTTTCTGCAATTTTTTCCTGTGATAGGTCAGTTTATTAGGTTTAAATGTTTCCTGAACAGCAATATTAATGTTCAGAGTTGAACATTTGACGTGGTATGACTTTGCTGGGAGAATAAATTGTGGTGAATTTCACAGCCTTGCTTTCTATGGTAATCTTATTATGTAAGAGTAGAAAACCAATAATATTGCTTTCGCATTTTCAGAAAACTGAGGCCGAAGGTGGTGAAGAAGAAGAGGAGAAAGAGGAAGCACTCAAGCCATCACCAGATGCTGATACTGTCATTCTTTTTACCAAGCCTGCCAACCAAGGTACGTGATACCCTAACAGCATGCAAAGAAAGTAGTGTCCGATAGCCCGGGGCTAGTGAATTCTGTTCTTAACTTGCCGGACGAGCAAGTGAAGTAGTTTGAGGAGTACAACTTACAGAAGAACTGTTAAATCATTTCTGCTCTTGAAAAAATTTTGGGGGTTAGTTGAAATGACATTTGGGCTAGTAAGTGTTAGCTTCAGCTTGCCCGAATGGCAAGCTGTAAAAATGACTTTCTTTGCACCCCTGCCCTAATGACTTTCATTCTGGGACAAGTTCATTCCATCTCCATATATTTTTCTGTATTGTTTGCATGATACCAATCAAAATGACATTTCATTCCAATACAAGTCATCCCTCTGACATGAAATTTCATTCTGGTATAATGTAAACTAAAAACAAACTTTGTTCCAGATTGAAAATCATGTAGCCTTGGGCGAGAGTGGTGCATGCATGTCTGATCTGGCGCAAAAAGCATGTGAGCAAAAACACCTTAAGCTCTCTTAAGCCAAGCCGGTCGATTATTCATTCTGCAGTGAAATTCATACCAGAATGAAAGTCATTTCAGTATCATATAAACAGCCCCGGCCTTACACACCTGCCCTTGTTACTGAAGCTTCTATAAAGTAGAGGTTTGTTATAAGGATGTTCATCATTTATTAATAGATCCAAATTAAATGCAGGACTCTCAGTAAGATCAACTTAAGACATTTTCGGGGCTGTGCTCTAAGAAAAATTGAAGGGAGCCTGCTGCTCTGAACCTGTGAAATCCAGGGTGTCCAGCTTAAAATGACTTCTGTGAAAAAACTAAGATTTTCTAGTACGTAACCAAGGAGCCAAAAGTTAGGTACCTGGGGTCACAAGGTGCTGTTAGAGCACAGCCTGACGTGGTTTAAGAACTTATTGTCAGCAGGCCACTAACTGGATTAGGAAAAGGGCGACAGTCAGTCAGAAAAACTGTTTATGACTTCCTAAGTTTCAAAACAATTTTTGCTTCCAAGTAACATTTCTTTGAAAGATTTTTTTTTGTTATAGAATATCCAGCTGGTGAGGTGATCAAGTGTCTTGTTGGTCTGGCAAATAATGGCAAGAATGATTTCATTGTGGAACTGGTAGAAGCATCTCTGAGGTAACTGCATCTTTATCAGTTACAAAATCATGGGTAAAAGTTATAAAGTATAAAGTATGGTAGTGGTAATGCAATAATAGACGGACATTTCCTTCTTTTTTTCTTTTGGTTTTTAAGAAGGTCTAAAAGAAACTTTACATTTTTGCAGAATAAAAAATGACCAGATTTTAACTTGCTGGGTATATACAATAATAATTAACAGCAGTAGGAGATGAATTGAAGGGCTAGCAAAAACTTTTTTCACTTGTGAAAACTACAGTCACAGACAAAAGTAGTTGGGAAGGTTGTACAACTTAATGGTAGTCCATTTTAATCCTCAAAAAAGAGAGTTTTCTCTTTTGCTAAATATCCCCCATCCCCCCTATTCAATGTTGGGATGTAACAGAACAATATCGCACACAAACATTAACGTTTTGCTCAACATTGGGCCAGGGGCGAGGGAGGAAGGAAAAAAAGAAGTAGAAAAAGCAACCTTCCTAGCACTTTTGACGATGATTGTAGTTAGAACCACTCTTAGACTCATCTACTTATATACATCCACAATAAAATTGTAAAACTTTCCAAATAGTCTAATTATAGAAAGATTACAAAGTATACCGCTATTCAAACACTTACACAAGGTCCTGAAATAAACAAACTATGAACCCTTGCGAAGTTTATCTGAGAATGTAACCCTAGTCACGCAAAACAATTTTTTTTAACAAAGTTGATGTTGTCCTCACTTTAATCACATGCTGTATTTGTATTGCAGGTATCCTCAAGATTACACATATTTCATTCAAAATGTAAGTTATCTTTAAATTAAAAATGCTCTGCAAAAAATATTTTTTTGCTGTAAACATTTTCCTTTTTCATTTGGAATTATGTCTGTTACATGTAGTTAAAAGTATTTTACATTATTACCACTACCATAACAAAAGTTATGAATAATCAGCAAATTAATTTCAACAAATTTAAATATTATATGAAAATTTGAGAAAATGTTGTTTTCTTATTTTTTTATTTATTTGTTATTATTTTTTTACAGTTTACTGCATTCCAGTACAATACTGTAGTTCAACCAGGTAGTCAGGTATGTTATTTTTTCACAAATTTTGATTCAACAGGGTTGAAGTATTGGTCTAACCAACTAGTACATACAGGACACCAAGCAAGTGTTTTAGGGGACCCAGGATGTTGCCTCTTAACCCGCTCCTGGTTAATTTTCATACCATCAGCTCAAATTGCCCTTGAAAACAAAGATAAAATGGGCTAATTTTGAAGGTGCAGTTAAGTAAAAAAGCCAGCATGACTAATAAAAAAGCCTGCTCAGCTTTTGCTCATACACATCCCTGGGAACCACATGGCTCCTTAATATGTCAAAGTCATCACTAATTCCAAAGACTTTGTCACCAGATTTACTTCTAATTAGAAAGCCGGTTTTACTCTACTATTATGAGAGTTAGACTCTCCAGAATGATATTGAGAATTTTCAGTGCAGGTGCCATTGGATAGTTTTAAATCTGCATTACGAACATCCAGTCTGACCCAATGCAGGGTGCAAAGAAAATCATTTTTACAGCTTGCCATTCGGGCAAGCTGAAGCTAACAGTTACTAGCCCAGATGTCATTTCAACTAGCCCCAAAAGCTTTTTGAAGAGCAGAATTGAGCTCACAGTTCTTCTGTTATTTGAATTCCTCAAAAAAGATCACTTGCCTGTCGGGCAAGTTAACAACAAGCTTAACTAGCCCGATAGCAAAATCCACTATCCCCGGGCTATCGGACACCGCTTTCTTTGCACGCTGCAATGTATCAGTTAACTATTAGAACACTGCAAAGGAACTTGATTACTAGGAAACGGCTTGAAATCCAAGATGGCATCTGCAGTTGTAGTATTTTTCTTGGTGGAACTTGTGCTAAATTTTCTGAAACAAACAAGGACCTTTGACTGCCCGTCAATGCCACACCTTTATTGTAAAAACACATTTTCCAAAATTCACAAGGTCTTCATGTAAGAAGTGATGAATTCTAACTGCCAATTTGCAAGCAACTTTCTGGTTTTGTTGATACTTTGAAAGATAACTTGCAAATTGCTTGTTTTGTACTTAGGCATCCTTTGAATATGCATTCAAGCCTCACGAGTCTTTTGGTGGACGACCATTTGGACTTACCATTAACATGATGTACAAGGATTCGGTGAGATATTCATGTATCAAAATAGAATAATTTTATCACTAGTTCATAGCCTGAACAACTCCTTCCCCATTAGCTTAGCTGGTGGAGTGTCCATATGCAGAGCAGAAGTTTGTAGGTCAAATGTTAACCATACTAGCAACCAGGTTCTGAGTTTTTCTGTTCCTGATACTAATGCTTATTTTCTCCATCAGGAAGGCAAATCCTTCATGGATGCAGTATTTAATGAGACCATCAACATTACAGAGAGTGAGGAAGGAATAGATGGCGAAACGTAAGGACTCACTGCTATCATTCCATACATGTAACTTCTCTAATCATTTTTTGTTGTTGTTACATGTACTATGCACTATGCTAAGTGAATATTTAATAGTAGGAAACTATTCCCATGCATCAAATTTTCATCTAAATTAAAAACAGAGAGACATTTAGATTTGTCCTTTCCTTTGACAAGAAATTCTGAAATCGGCCTTTTTCATTGAACAACTTGTTCTAGATTACAGTTTCTTGCCAATAGCAAATCTCGATTTTGTGACGAAATTATACATAGAATGATTTTGCTTTGTGCAAAGGAATGATCTTGTTTTAAAATTCATCTGTTTCAGCTTCTTTTTGTACGTGTTCCTGGCTGCAGTTGGCCTTTTGTTGGTTATGGGAGGTCACTATGCCCTGACATCAGTCAAGGTACATCATCATTGTTACGGTTATTTACTATTCAGTGTTTAGGGAGCTACTTTATACTGTTAACCAAATTTACTGATTGACCACCAACTGAGTGAAAAATAATGTAACAGCAAAAGAACATTTAACAAGGCAGAAAATACTAAGGAAGCCATGTGTGGATTAACAGAATTGAAGAAGATCAAAACAGAGTGTGTTTTGGGTTTTTGAAAACCACTCAGCCCATCAGTTTTTCAAAGTTCATCTTTCTTATTTGAAATTTATACAAGATGTGTTTGCCATAACACTGAAACTTGAGACTGCTAAATTCTCTTTGGGACTCGTGAACTAAGTTCACAAATTTTGTGATTTGCACCAATTACTTCTATTGTCCCAAAAAATTGGCTGTGAAAACCTAAAATTGGTATCAAATGGGTTTGAAGAAACATTGAACGGTTCTGCTTTAATAGACATTGCCTTTTTCACAATATTCAGTGAGTTTGTTTGGCCATTTGAAATTTTAAAAGCTCTGCTTTCTCTGATAGAAACTTACCGTAACACATTGACAATACAGAGCATTTCCAACCCTGTCGTGCTTTTAAAATTTTCGGTCTATTTAATTAAATAAGTGACAGCCGTGGTATTTGTACTACTTCACCTTAAATGTCCAAAAACGGTTAGTGTAGTCTATGGTTGTCACTGTGAAATGTTGTTTTGATGCTGAAACAATGCTTTTTTTAAATATAGGGAAAGAAACCAGCTCCCAAGCCTGTAGTAGAAATGGGAACACAGCAGAATACTGATATTGACTATGACTGGCTTCCCAAGGAAACAACAACGGAGTTTGGTATGTTTTGTAGCTCAGTGGTAATTTATTTGCTCTTGGAACGGGGGAGGGAGTCTGTGTCCGTGATGTTAGAGACTTTTCTTCAAGATTCATTATTTAAAAAGATATGCAGGAGAGAATGGCTTGTGTTTTAAACCTGTTACTAGACCCTTGGCCAGTATGATTACCTCCGTAGTCAGCTGGCTCTGGAATCTTATCGTAGACTTTGTAAAGTCTGTTTCATTTGGTAATTGGTTAGGAGGGACATTTTTCGTAGGCCATTTTTGCGACTTTTTGCTAAAAAATAGACTTAACTACAGTGTAAGTCAAAATTGTTGGGACACTTTACTTGATGAATAGAAATAAGTTATTAGACTTCTTCAATATAAACTTCATCTATTAAAACACATCCAAGTGTTGCAAAAAAAAACAACAAATTGATCAAAACTGGAGCAAATACATCGGCTTGCCAATCTAACTCACACCAGTGTTATTATTTTTCTATCCTCAATGTCATTTCCCTTGATGTACTTGACACACAATAAACGTTCTGTCTCTGCAGAACCCACTATGTCACTGCTTCTCCCTTATTAAAATGTTTCGTAATGTTTGTGGAGTATTCCTCGAATTGGTGCTGCAGTCTCTTAGTTTACTGTCTGTTGTTAAGACCCTTTTAAAATGACTTGTGTTCACAGGGCTGTAATTAAGGGACGGGGGCGGCTACTATGACGGTGGTCCGCGGCAACTTTCGTAGGGAAATAGAAGAAAAATAATGCCAAAAGAAATCCCTAGCTGTTTGATTGCCGGCCTACTTGTTGTATTTACCTGGCAACTTGAAATCTTAGTGACAACCCTGGTTTAGCTTTTTAACCGTCTAATACGCGTTATACACTTTTGGGTTATTGAACTGATGCTATCTTGTGAAACCATAAAATTAAGGTAAGATATGTCAAAAGGTTCAAGACAGTAATTGAAAAGTGGCATGCGTAGTGACTGGCCTTCATTTCTTGTGTGTCAAGTAAAAAAATTTTCCACTGTTATTAAGTAGCCTCTCCAACAGGCTAGGAAAGTTCTTGTAAAATGGCTGCAGAACTCAATACTTGTTCTTTATGAACAATTACTATAACTTCAATACTGAAGTTTTTAAACTAAAACATTAAATAAATGCCTTTTCATAGCAGTGAATTTAGCTGTAGTCCTGCTTTTTTTTTTACTTTTAAATGTATTGTAGTGTATTTATGATTTATCAATTGAGTTTGGCACGGCAGTAGCTCAGCTTGGTTTCAAACGTCGTGCTACCGCCGTGCTGAAAAGTCGGCCGAACTCAATTCATAAATTAGAAATGCACTAGAATATATATTGCTAAACCGTTTCATTATTGATTTTTTTTGTTTTCGGCAACAGCCGTTCTATTCGACTGAATTAAATTAAACGACAGAAACCAAGTCGTGCTTGTGTCGTACTGCAGTCGAGCTACCGTTGAACCAGCTTAGCACGGCAGTAGCACGACATTTGAAACAGGCCTTACATAATGATTCAAAGCAGTGTTACAAATAATCAACAGCGAACAGAAACGTATTCTCCTCTCATGTTACGCAAACGAAGAGAATTTTCAAGACTCTTGAACATTCCAAGAACGATAAAATCACGTACATAATGAGTACAAACTCGTTCCTTACCCCAAAGGAAAAGGCCCCGGCTAAGAAAGCAAGGCCAAAGTCAGTACTGAAGGATACAATACCAACTCCGCGGTTTCGCGGTATGGCCAGTACCTCACACATGCACACAGCCACATCACCCAGGCAGTGGCAGCCGTGGACACTAGTGTCAGTGATCGAAAGTGCGCCCTTTCGCCTGGGTTATGCCATCTGATGAGTGTCTGTAACCCGGGGGGTACTCCTGAGAATTCTTGGTGGGTTAGGGTTTGCGGTCCTCCGCATCCTGGCCTTATTTCAAACCAAAAAATGTCATTTTTCAGACCTGGCCTAGAAGAAATTACTTAGATAAGAACAGCAACAAAAAGGTTTCTTAAAAGCCATTACGAATTCGCATACGGTATTTCTCTTTCTTTCTTACTCATTTGGAATTGAAACGACAAATACGTTCATACAGTCCTGTAGTTCCCTCGAAAACCATACCCGACTCCAGACAAAAACGGCACAAAACCCCACTCTGTGGGGCGGCACATACCTTTATGGCTTGTATAAGGGAGAACACCCCCCCGCACTCGACACGGGCCTTATGAAGACGACAGAGCTGTGCATAGATATCACTGCCTGGGTGATATGGCTATGTGCTTGAAGTAGGTACTGGCCCGAGGCGATTAGTTGTACTTGCCATACCACGACGGAGTTAACAGTCTGTGCTTCATTGCTGAACTTGGTCTGGTTCTATCAAAGAATAGCAATAGATGACAAGAGAAACTGGCACGAGAAAAGCCCTGGGAACGAAATGCTAAGCGTTTGGTGCGCTTGGGTATCCTGTGGTTTCCACTCCCGAGGGCTGGACACCTTATGACGCCTTAAATGACGCCTACACAAAATAATTCGGGGAAGTCTGGGTCGAGAAGAGTCAAACATGGCGGACGAGCTCGACGTGAATTCGAGCAGAGTTGTAGAAGGTTAGAAAAACAAACCAGTATATACCTCAATCATTAACGCATCTTCACCTAGTTTGCGTAACAATCTAGAGGGTATAGGTACCGTTATGTAGGGGCATCTTTTTTAAATGTCCGAGCATTTCAACAATCAGATGCAGAAAGGTTGATTTTTCGAACCAAGCGCTTATCTCATGATTTTGAGTGGTGTGTCTTTACTCCACTTCCGAGGCCTTTTGTTCTGCAGTCATAGAATATATGTTTAAATCAAGTCGCAAAATGAGACTGCTTGTTCTGCAGTCCTTACCAAGTGGAAATGGGATGAATTTCCATGGGAACATGCTGTCTGTTGACTTTTGTTTGTTTCCAGCTTTTCCAATAACAAATAATAGAAAAAGAGTGATGGCCCCAAAAAATTTAACAGGTGGGGACAAGAAACATTTCTTTTCATTTATTTGCCTTACTTTTTTATGTTTTTTTAATAGGGTCATTGTATTCTGACCTTCACGGAAGTGTAAGATACAGTTTAGGACAAATTGGTCTTCAGGTAACTTCTCTACTGATCTAAACAAAATAATGTTCCTGATATTACTCAATTATGTATTGTTTACTTTAACCATTTTACTCCCAGGCTGCATGATGGAGTCTTATAATGTGGTTCAAAGGTTTACGGTCGTTTTGATACAAGTTTATCTAGTTTAGGTGTAAATAGTTCCACGTACTTGGCTTAAAGAACGAAGAATATTCACCCAAAATGTTTTTCATGTTCACCCGCAAACTATGTTATTTGAAGTGATCGAAATTTTTGCGCAATATCGGTGCTTGAGATTTTATCAAATTGACTTGTATTGAAACGACTTTGTATCAAAATGATTGAACTCCGGTTCAAACTTCTGAGACTGTGGATGAAATCCTATAATAATTATGTGACCGATCATATAAAATCTCTCCAACTGTACTATTAATTTTTTTCTTCCACGTTAATTTTCCTAAAATGAAATTTGCTAAAATTGTTGACTGTTAGGAAGTGAAAGGGTTAATAAGTTCCTATTATCTCCTTAGTAACAAGGTGCAGTAAATTCCTGATTTTTAAATTTCAGTGAAAAATTGAGAAGATTAGTTTGAATTATTGAGAGGGTGGGTAAAATAACAGTGTTTGACCAGGGAAAGATTCTTCAGGTTCATAACCAGCCATCATGTTTTTGACATGAAACTTTGTTCCACCTTGTTTCTCCTCACCCAGGTGTATTAATGGGTAGCTGTGGTGCAACATATCACAGAGGGTAACCTGTAATTAATAGACTGCTATCCGATTCAGCGGGGAGTAGCAATACCCCAGCCCTCTGTGCTTAATGCTGCAAAACCAGGGAGTGCTCACACTTTGTGAATCTAGTGGCTGATTTGTGCCTTTATCTTGACTATGACAGGGAAATTATTTAGTTTTGTACTTATTATTAGGAGGTTTGAGAGATCAGGATACTAAGTTGTATATTTAAAAATCGAAGTTTGTTCAGTTGAACTTTGTTTATTACAAGACTGGTAATACTTCTGAATGAATATCTTATTTGATTTATCGGTGACGTCGCGAGACGTTTCTTTAAACAATGAAGTAAAAATTTGTTACAACACTTTTTTTTGTCACTTCTACATCTTGTTTCTGACGCTGTATTCGGACAATAGAACGAGGGATTTCAAACAGCACAACGAAGCAAAAAACCCAAGAAAAAAGAAATGTCTGCGAGAGAGAAAAGGATTCGTGGGATTTACAAAATATCACCTAAAGGTCAAAGGTTAGGATTCAGTTTAATTTATGTTTGCTGTGGACTAGCCTGATTCTCAGATGGTCAAAGGACTCTCTTCTCTTTCTATCTGATACAATCAAACCCTGCTTTACTGCTTACACCTCATTATTACGTAGAGGATATTACATGGCCGCATGGGGATATGAATTTTATCTTTGAGTGCTGAACGTATCTCTCACGCATGAGCGAAGCTAACAAGTGAGAGATACTTTCAGCACGAGAAGATAAAATTCGTATCCCCAAGCGGCCATGTAATGTTCTGTTTATTTTCTAGATACTGATGAAATTCCCAGATAAAACACAACTACTTTTTTATTCATTTTCGAAACAGCAAAATAGTGCAATTAAAGTGGTCACCTACCGCAAAATGCCTGTCACAAAAATTTTATGAAACTCGGATATAAAGTTATAAAGGAGAAATAAAGACAATAATACTTGTATTTTCTGTTCCAAAAAGTCAAAATTAATGTTAGTAACCATGGCGACAGCAATATCCTCACACGTGAAAGATAAAAATAGTATCTTCTTTGGAAAAATCCTGGTATGTCATCAGTATCTATATCTATATCTATATGTCCCTTTGTCCCTCAACTGGTTAATTCTTATTGAGAAGCCCTTTTGTTTGTCATAGAATTGATATTTTTGTCATGCTTTTGTTGGATACGTAGACCTGCATTAAGTACTAAAATAGCTTTGCTTGCTTTTCTTTAATGTTATACTAATTTGAAGGGTTTGAATCTATTTCAAGGTATGAGATGTATGTTCCTCTTCACAAGTTATGGGAAGGTTATATGCAGAGCATGCTTAATCTACATCCAAAAAGGTAAGGTCAGATATCATACTACATGTACTAAACAGTAACCCTTGTGGCGTACAAAAATGGCGAGCTGACCAGAGGTTGAATATGCTGACGGGGCATAACCAGCCTATTAACCTGTAGGCCTGGGCCTACAAATTTTGGTTTGATCACTCTACCTCTTCTTATAAGTTATGCATTTTGGGGATGAGCTAAGAAGCATAAGAGGTCAAAGTGTTGGTGAGGACCGTGCACCGTGCTGGCCTACAACTAGTCGAAAAGCTGGCTAAGCCTTTGACTGACAAGGTGGTTATGGTCCCACGGAATTAGAATTCTCCCCCCAAGAACTGTGAATCATTTTGAAGGAAGTAGGAGTGGATGGTGGAATTTTCTGGGCAAATGTACATGAGGTTATCAGACTGAAACACTTTAAGACTATTAAAATCCCAACCAAAGGGAGTTGATGGACATGGTTCTCTCATCCTCTTCCTCATTTGTTTATGATTACTCCTTTTCATTTGGGTTATTATTTACAGCAAAGTCTTACTGCAGTGCAGTTTGCCATTGTTACTTGAAAACCAGGCTTTCCTTAATTCTTTAAACCCAAAAATCAACATGCATATTCTCCACATCTCCTCAAGGTATTTGAGAGGAGAATTTTATCCATCAAGACTTATTTCCACTTCTCACAGCCTAAAATTTTATTAAGATCAGTGTGACCTCAAGGAGAAATTGAATGTTGGTTAGTTACTTTTGGGGGGGTTAAGGGGTTTAGAGGTTAACGGGGAGCTGATTTGAAAAGACAATGCTACTGACACTGTTTCTATCATTAGTAATCTAAAAGCTGCCTATCCTAAGCTTCTTCGAGCTGATTACCAAGGCTGTATCCTGAATGGTAAGTTCATTTTCTGTTTTTCTTTGTTAATATACCACTGCTGGAAAATTAAATATGTTTGACTCCGAAAGTCTAGACTACGAGCAGTCTCTCTTTTTTTCTGTGGTCTGTCGAGCAAAACGCGGGACACGCAAATGGCCACGAGCGTAGAAAAAGAGAGACTGCTCGCAGTCTACCGAAAGTCTTTCTTTCAGAAGTGCTGTAATGATCCCAACAGGATCATTATACATTTCTGGGAAACTGCCCACCTACCCCTCCCCAAAGCCAACATTAACACTTAATTCTCACTGAGGGCAAAATGTTGGCTTAGGGGAGGGGTAGGTGGGTAGTTTCCCAGAAACGTATAATGATCTGTGGATCATCATACGTTTCTGGGGAAACTGCCTACCCTACCCCTCCCCTAAGCCAACATTAACAATTACTCCTCACTTAGGCCAAAATGTTGGCTTAGGGGAGGGGTAACCAGGTTTATGTGGTAAATGCGAAGCGCTATAAAAGGCAGGCAACCCTGTCAGTGCTCTTGCACTGAGATGAGAGTAGCTCAAGTATGCAAACACCAAGTGCTTCAGAAGTGTGCCAGTGCATTCCTTGTTTGGAGCTTTGTTCTTATCTATAGAAGCTTTAAATCCCATTTTAGCGAGGCCAAAACTACTTCAGCGTACGGGGAATGTTTTGAAGTTTTCCGAACTCACTTCTGAGCTGCTTGAACTTGTGTTCGCTTTGTCTTCCCCTTTAAGCAGAGGTCACATTCTCTCGATGTAAACTGGCGTTCGCAAAGTGGCTACATTTTATTATTTTTTTTACTTAACAGTTTACTTGGTTTTGCAAAGATCTTTGTTGCTCTTCAGCAACAATACCGATGTATTTTAAAAATATTTTCAGAAAACGACCTGCCAATAGCAACACTGATCAAGACTTTAAGAAATTATCTAATCTGATTGGCCATGGACAGCCCCGTTTAAGCATTTTTAGACAGTTTGATAGGACAGTACACGTCATGTCTAATTCCCCTCAGTAGTTGAACAGAATTTGATAGTACTAAATAAAATTGGAGATTATTCAGGGGCACCCAATGACCGAATTTTTTCCAGATACGACAGAATTGGCTCAGATGGTTTTCCCTATGCTTTAGAACCCAGTTTGGCCAAATTGTGGCTGTCCTAAGAAATATTTATCTGTTCGGACGTCTTAGGGGGACTTTTCTGGTCACGAAAATTTTTTGGTGGCTATTTCATCTTTAAGCTGTCCTTATGGGTACGGTCGGACGTTCAAGGACATGGACTAGCCGTACTTCCAATAGAAAACTCTAGAACGCTTTGTCTTTATACTGAAATTGTTAGGAGACTTTTGGCAATATCTTGGCAATGTGAAAAACACAACCTCTGAAAATCGTAGGTAAGTCAATAGAAAAACTCCGAACATCTTAGACGAGTGGGAAAGTTATGCAGACAATTTTTTAGCCTTTCTTGCGTTTTAGAAATTTTGGGGCAATATTTACTCCTTCGAACAGTAAGTTTACCGAAAAAAGTCGTTGGGTACCCCTGATTGTTGTTGTAATAAAAGTGATGAGTTAGCCACCAAAAAAAACAATATTGAGCTTTGGCTGCGTGGGCTGTATGTTGATCTCGAGAGATCTTAACTTTATAAGCTATCACAAATAATCAAATTATTATCTTTCTTTATCGCAGTAAGCCGGTCAAAGTGTCCATCCTACGTGGGAACAAGTGGCATTTTACTACAAGAAACAAAGAACGCGTTTAAAATCATAACAAAAGATAACGAACTTAAAAGTAAGTATCGACTCGAGTTGTGCCGCGATGTGTTTGAAAGTACACTCTTGAAAGTATCCTCTCGGAACTTGAAATCTGTTGGTTTAATTGAAAACCGGGGGGGGGTACTTCCTTATATAAGCCATATAGGTATCCGCCCCAAAGGGTATGGTTTTGGGGCCTTTTTGGTCTGAAAACAGGTATACACTTTGCCCATTTTGGTCTGGAATCGGGTATGGTTTTTGAGGGAACTACGGGAGTGTATGAACGTATTTATCGTAAGGAAATAGAAATATACACATTGGAAATGCATTTGAAGATTTTTTTGTTTGCGCTCTAATCTAAGTATTGATGACATAATTTCTGCATAAAGGCCAGGTCTGAAAACGGGTATGGATTTTAAAGGTGTGGTCTGAAAACGGGTGTCATGTGGAAAATGACATTTTTTGGTCTAAAATAGGGTTAGGATTTGGAGAACCGAGCGCCAAACCCCTTCCAAGAAACCCAGGAGTATCCCCCCCCCCCCCCCGGGGATTAAAAAAAAAAAAAAAATAAAAAAAAGAAAAAACGAAAAAAAAATTATGATGGAGAGGCGAGTGGGGGGGGATGTTCGTGTGTTGTTTGTGGCATTCAACCGCGGGGGGGGGGCGGCGGGGGAGGGGGGGGGTGGGGGGGGGGGGGGGGGGGGGGGGGGGGGGGGGGGGGGGGGGGGTACTTCCTTGCATAAGCCATATAGGTATGTGTCGCCCCAAAGGGTATGGTTTTGGGGCCTTTTTGGTCTGAAAACACTTTGCCCATTTTGGTCTGGAATCGGGTATGGTTTTTGAGGGAACTACGGGAGTGTATGAACGTATTTATCGTAAGGAAATAAAAATATGCACATTGGAAATGCATTTGAAGATTTATTTGTTTGCGCTCTAATCTAAGTATTGATGACATAATTTCTGCGTAAAGGCCAGGTCTGAAAACGGGTATGGATTTTAAAGGTGTGGTCTGAAAACGGGTGTCATGTGGAAAATGACATTTTTGGTCTAAAAGAGGGTTAGGATTTGGAGAACCGGGCGCCAAACCCCTTCCAAGAATTCCCAGGAGTATTCCCCCCCCCCCTACGGGATTGAAAGATCCCACCCTGCCATCAGCAGAGCCGTCCTATCGTTTGCTTCTTTTCTCCTACTCACAAAAGAAAAAGACAAAAGAAGGCGCTGCTCGTAGGGTGGGAAGATGCCGGGGGGGTAATGCCCATAAAAGTGACGGGGCTGCTCGGCGGAGAATTTCGAGAACACCCCTAAAAGGTACCAGAATCTTGTTTTATTTGCGTGTCCCAAATTCACTTCCGCCCCTAAGAGGTACCAATTCAAAACTATATAACTGGCACTGCAAATTTCAATCGGTGATAAAGATAACTTTCCAACACTTTCTTCTCAAGGACTTTTTGAAACTATTGTCATAAATCTTTATCCTAATCAGTCATTTTAGGTTTTAGCACCCTAAGGGGTACCAATCCAGAAATTTAAACCCCTAAAAGGTACGACGAGCACCCCCGTCACTTTTACAGAGGAGTACCCCCTCCCCTAGGGGGGGGGGAGATCCCAGATCTAAACGCATGAAGCAAACGAACTTTCATTTTATTTCGCGTCCGAGCTACCATGCATGACATATTCGACTGAACTGGGATACCTCAGCATACGATGGTCCTTGTCCTTCTTGAGCTATTTTTGGACTCTCTACAAGACGGAACCTCAGGCTGGTCATGTGGAGTCCGTCTGAACTTCGCTTCTCACTAGCACCGAATCAACCTCGTCCCCAGGGAATAGCGCCCTGGGGACGAGGTTGGCACCGAATCATCTTCGGACTGAGCTTGTTTCAAAAATACATGTTGAGATTAAATATGTTTTTAAAAAATTGTTACGGCAAATAATTGTAAATGTTCTCGGCTGCCATGATAATAATTCTCACCAACTTTGACTGTTCTAGTCAAATGTGTGTTTTGGCTCTAAGGCCCGGTTCAAACGTCGAATCTCACATGCATATGAAGTGCGACGTTTGAATCAATTAAATTCGACTGTTTAAATTAAATGCGTCGTTTGCCGTATCTGTGGCTGAAACAGTCGAAAATTCGACTTAGGTTCGACTTTTGATTCAAACGTCACATTTCACATTTGCCGAACTTAATGCATGAATTTTAGTAAATTATTATTATATTGCTGGGAATATTGACCGCGAACAGAGTTAAATTCGACAGAGTTCAGAGAGTTAAATTCGACGTTTGAATCAAATGCCGTATTTAGCTATAGGAATTAAGTTCGGCACATGTAAAATTCGACGTTTTTAGCTGGGCATAAGGAGGAAATATGTTAACGCTGCCAGTCTCTTGCTGGCGTTCAGACAGCGGAGTGAGTAAAAGAAAAAAAAAAGAGGGGAGCAGATTTTGTATTGCTGTTGTTATGCTGCTTTTTGTTGGGCGCGCGTCACTATCTGAACTCTGGAACAGGCTATGCCGGCCGAGAGAGAGTTCAGTTGATTGCGTTAGCTCTATTTTCGCCACAAATAGCTACGCTGACGTCAATTACTACAATATAAACATCCAACTCTGAAATTCTGTCACGTTTGGTCGGTTTTAATCCCAGCCACGCGCTGGAATATCAAAGGCGGCCTCAAAAATGTAAATCTGCATGCCCTAATTGTCCCTTTCACGTCCTGTTTTGATGCACGAGACGGATGCCTTTTTCAAGAGAGATTTTCCAGCTTTATGTTTAAGGTCGAAATCCTCTTAGCTTAATCGCGGTTATGTTTTCAAGAGATTAGTGACCCATAAGCAACTTTTTTTGTCCGCAAACATGCACTCAGAGATCTCAAGCTTGTATAGTGATGTCATTTGTGGCCAAAACGGATTCGGCTGACCTCCTACGCTTTTAGTGGTATTCACGTATCTTAACCCTAACTTCCAGTCTTCCGATGATGTAAGCTGTTGTTTTATGTCAATCTGATGGAGATCCTATGTTGCAATCTATCAAACGAAGGCTCTTCGACAGTGCTTTTGCTTTGTAACATTTGTTTTCTGGGTTTTCTGTGGTTAAATGAATTTAAATTTAATGTTTACTTTTTGCACTACACTGTGGTCTGTGTTCTTTTCCTTTGAAGCAAATAAACACCATCCATTTCGAAAAATAATTCGTTTTGTTTTTCAACTCGGTTGGTAAAAGTAAAATGAAGCTGAACCTGCATTAAGCGGCCACCCTCTATTAAACGGCCAGTAACCAAAGTCCTAGACTTTCAAAAAAGTCCTTCGTCCGATTTAATGTGGCGCGGGACCTCTCGCGACTTTTGTCGCTCCTTGGCCAAGAAACTCGTGAGGTCGACTTGTATCAAGACTACCAAAGTCCCGAAATAATTGTAGAAAAGATTGGGAACTTAAACCTCTATAAAGTTTGCTACCTCTATCAGCTGCCGCGGCCACTTTTTGGCCATCCTAACGAGAGCTATGTTATTGCTGTCCCCTTTATTAAGCGGCCATCAAGCGCTTGAAACACTTAGTTTCGCTTTGTTTCAAGAATATGAAGAAGAAAAATACAGTCCGAGGTAGAAGGTGACGACTGACTGCTGTAGCGTGTTTGACTTAAAATAAAGAGAAGTTTCTGCTTAATAATTATGTTCTGCAAGGTATGACGAGCCTCTATTGATCGGCCAACCTCCATTAATCGGCCACTTGCCGGTACCCCGAGAGTACTGGCCGCTTGATGGAGGTTTAACTGTAGATGGTAAACGTGATTCAAATGCTAACCCCTCCTCAGAAAGAATCAAGACGTCATCTGATGTTGATACGGACCATTGCGGTGGTCAATTTACTTTATCTACGCAGTGGATAACGCTAAATTTTGGTTTCCTCATTCACCCCTCCACCTACGCATATCCCATTACCCTCAATAGTCCTTCAGTCTCAAATGTGCAGAAAGAATTAAGCCACTTGGCACTGTCTTGACAATGCCACGTTTAAGGGTTTATTGCTAAAATGGAGTGTTTTGTGTCGGTTACGCCATTTATCTGGGATGTGAACAACCCATTAATCCGGACACGTCACTGAGTATGACGTCACTATTTAGCTGGTCTGGGCCCAACCTCGTCCCCAGGGCACTTTTCCCTGGCTTAGCGCCCTGGGGACGAGGTTGGTCTGGGCCGTATCTTCCGTTAATACGGGCACTGAGGGGTCCAAAGAAATTGTCCTTATTAAGCAAGTTGAATTAAGAGTGAATGTAAGGGCTTTCTTTCCCTAGGGACCAAGGAAATTGTCCGTATTAAGCGGGTATCCGTAAAGCGGGGTTTGACTGTAATTCGAGATGGAGATCTCTCTGACATGTAGCGTGCGAGAGCTGGTCTAGTGGGTGTCCTGAGGCCAGCCAGTGGTGTTTCCGACTCGAGGGTGTCCCGAGTGAAGCCAGAAGTTCTGCCTGGCTCCGCTAGCCCCCATGGTTATTCCAAGCAGCCAGTACTCTAATTTTTACATGTAATATTTTCATTGTCGTAATTTATTTTTGAGCAGTAGTGAGTACAAAATAATGATTGTTGTTGTTGACTCGAGGGTGTCCCGATAAGGGAGGGAACTTTCATACTGGCAGGCAGCAACCGTTTTATTGTTTTATTGTTATTATTTTATTATCATTTTGCCATATAAGTTAAATATATACATAAAATTAAAAAAAGGTGAGGCAAGAGAGCCCAAGGAAGCAATAAGGCTTTTGAATAGGACCATTTTTAAAAAAATACTGTGTACCTAATTAATAAATAAAATACTCACATCGGCAAGACAAGTCTAACTAGCTAAGAAAATGCGATTTCTCTACAACATAGAAAATAATCGTTAAATAGGATAAAAATAGATAAGGCTGAACGTGCAAGTGCAAAAACGAAAAAGTGAGAAAATACAATGCAAGAATATACGAGGAAAAAAAAGCGAAAGAAGCGAAAAACTACACACAAGCACTAAGAGAAGTACAGCGTAGTTTAGAAGTGAACACAGCAAAATACATTCGCAGCAGCCACCTATCTACATCTAGATTTTTTGTCTTTTTCTCTTGTATCCCATCCGGCAAGCTTGCGTCGAATATGATATCATAAGCAGGTTTTGATGGCCGCTTCAGTTATCATTTCATCCATTTAGCTCAGCCTTTCTTTATCAAACTGTAATAAAATCACTCATATAATGAAAGAACTTGCAACTAAAAGATATCAGAATTAACTCTTTTTCCAGGGAATTGGATTATTTCTTGAGTAGTGGGTGAATGGAAGATTTGCATAAAAATCAAAACACAAATATTTTCTGTCATAATATCCATAACAATCGTTGAGATTGTGTTTGTCATCGAAAGCCATAGTTAGTTCTTGACAAATAAAACTGTTTTTTCAACAAGCTGCACCATGAAACTGTTTCATCAGTCGACATAATTGAATCGACCGTGGGAAAACCGTGTCCTACGCATCATGAATACCGGAAATATTACAAATTTCTGTAAACAACGAGATCGAGAACAAGCGTTCTTGACATTCTCTTGTTTATTCGAATTTATTGCAACATCGAAACTGAAGTGCTTTTCCTGTCGGTTTAAGTCAAGAGGTATCTCGTTATTTGACGTAACCCTGTGAGCGCCTACTCCCCGACACGTTTCTCGCGATTTTTGTCGTGAAGAGCTTTGTCACGACATTTGGCTTCTACAGCATGATGCAACTATGGGTATTGCTACTCCACAGACATGCTTCCTGCTATACTCTAACATATTGCGGTCATGTAAATAAAGTAATTTGCTTCTACTACAGTAGAATCATGGTAACTCGAACTCTAAAGGGAAACGAAAAAAAGTTCGAGTTAGCGGAGAATTCGAGTTATCGGGGTAAATTTCAGTGAAATTTTGATCGAGGAAAAGGAAATTTAGTTCAAGTTAGCGGGGAATTCGAGTTATCCCAGTTCGAGTTATCGAGGTACTACTGTGTATTACTACCGCCTGGATGAGGTGTTCGATATTTCCTAGCAGGAGTATAAACGGTCAACTCTTGACGGACAACTTGCCACGGCAGAATTTCCCAGGAAAATGATTCAAATAAACTAACTCTCTGGGATTTCTTTTTTCTTTGCTTAGTTTTCTTTCATCACTTGTTTTCCCTTTAATGTTATTGCTGGCCCTTTACAGCTCCGCGAGGTTTAAATAACTGTGAACTGATCGACACCCCCACCTAGGATTATAGCGATGGCGAGGTGACCGTTTCTAAGACTGTTTCTTAGTGCTTGACCCAATGCTGTCCCTCTTAGACGGACAGGTGCGGACTGTACACACCTGTGCGATGTTTTATAACTGGGGACTGCTGCGCGATAGCATGACGTTCGTAACAGACTAGTGGTGAACTGTAAATCAATATTAAAAAGAATCCGCTCTTCATATGGAATAGAAGATCGCGGACTACTCTGAGTTGGTATTTGGGCTTTATGCCGCTGGATATTAACTAACTTCTTGTTTTTTGTTGTTCTTGGTTTTGCTTTTTTTTGTTTTTGTTTTTCTTTATCGTTTCATCAAAGCTTAGGCAACCTTGTTTGCATTGTACTTCTTTTTTTGTTCTGTATGTTTTAGCTTTCACACGACACAGCTAATTCATATCGTCGGTGTTGTCTTTATTTTGCAGTGATTCCCAAAGCCAACAGCGTGTTCACGTTTGAGCTTGGAGGGTTCGAGTTCACGATTCATGGCAATCATTTTCGGTATCGCTCCTGCGAGCGGTCTGCACGCAAGTTCAAACGTAAACCGACGACGGACTTGTGACGAACTCAAGAGTTTGGATGGAAGAGAATAATAAGAGTCAAACTGCCATGCTTAACGTGAGCACCAGTCCAGATGCGCTTTGCGAGTCAAGCCGTACCATCCACTGGTTACTTGCGCAGTGGAGCGTACTGTGATAACGGCTTGTCTTTGACTTGACGGTTGCAAGATTTTGCTACTTGCCTCACTGAACAGAGGCTAAATATCTCTTTTAAGAAGAGCCACGTTGCACTCAATTTTAATCGCGTGGTGTAATCGCAGAGATTGAGTTTTTTTGTTGCTCAACCAAAACTGTGGTTGCATATGCGACCAACTGCTTATAATCTTGGGGACTCTCTGAGAAGCTACCCACCTACCCTCCTCTAGGTTTAGCCTTATGTGAGAGGTTTGTGTCAACTTTGGGTTGAGGGAGGGGTGGGTTGATAGTTTCCCCGGAAGCTTGGATGCAAACTGATTTCACCTGAAAATAATATTGCCAGGCCAACTTTTTTTCAACTTTGAACTCTGTGTTCTCAAAAAATGACCAAAATAAGCGATCATGCTCTGTTTTTGCTTTTATTTGTGAATCACTTTTGATACCTTTTACAGTTTATAATATAAGAAAAGATGGCTAACGATACTTGGATATAATTCCGGCTCAGCTTCAACCAAAAAAATTTGGAACTCGCCATGACACAGCCACTTTACTTGTATACGGAACCTAACGCCGGAATTGCTATCTTTTGCACGGAAAACAAATGATCGCGTGATCGTGATGTTTAGGGCGTTCTGTCCCTTTTTAAGATTGTTCAAAAAGGTTGCGTTTGTGATGAATGAAAATTTCAACACTTGGGTAGTGAAAATTGACCAAAATGAACGTTTTGTAATTTGATTTATTATTTGGAAATAAATTTGTCTTTGCGATCGCCGCTTGTGGGGGCGTAGTAATTGTGGTTAACTCGTCGAAGTTTCAATCGGAAGATTGCTTGTTCTTTGTTCCTCTGTTGTCAATATATTTCGCTCCTTGTTGGTTCACTGTATAAAACAGCTGGCTTACAGACGAGCGGGACTGTATCTTTCCTTTTGTTGTCGCAATCACAAATTAGTTTACCTGTGCGTGTTCCTGTGTTAAGTTTTCTGTCATTAACGGCGGAAAACTCCATTTTCAAATCACGCTATCATTTTCATGCTGAGGCACGAAAATGGATCAAATTTTGTAGAATGACACGCTACGACTAAGTGCATTTATTCATTCACGAAATCCCTTGTGAAGAAAAATATTAAGTGCTTCTCGCGAGGAAAACAGACAAACATGCAGATTGTTTGCTACAACACTGACCGACCAAAGGCCACCTGTGTTTTTTGTACCAGTCATGCGCGAGAAAACTACACTTGTCCGGCCCCTCCCCTCCCTTCCTCCTACATACAAAACCCACAATTAATCTCTCGCAGAATTTCAATTCTCGAATAGCACATGATTTACATCATATCCCTAAGGACTTTTGTCCACCATTGCAGCAATACTGAGAATTGACGCGCTGGCGAGCATTAATATCACCACCAGGATATATCATCAATTTTTTCACTGGATGTTCTTCTCTTGTATCCACTCTCGTAGCCCTTGATAGCTCGATCTCTCTCTCGTCCGATTGAACAGAGACTCACCTGCCAGAGCGTTAAAGCAAAACAATGGCAACGAAATCCCGCCAACGAATAAGTCGAGTAGGACGCTTTTGTTTGATACTGAACTTTCTTCCGCGATTACTCTACAATGATTTTAAAAGATTTCAATGTCTTGTAATTCGCCATATTCCCTTATACGCGTACAGTAAGGAGGGTTCTATGAAAATGGGTTCTATTTGTAAGCTCTCCTATTCTATTTATTGTCCAGTTGATAAAGCTTTTATCAACCTGTACTGAAATCATTGATATCTTGGCTGGTAAACATTTCACTCAAGTCACCCAATGTAGGATCATGTAGGTGTGCATAACTGCCGCCAGGTTAGCTCAGCTGGGAGAGCGCCGGTCTGCTGAGCGGGGAGGTCGCGGGTTCAAACCCTGCCAGAATAACACTCAGGGTTAGTGCTGCCTTTGCAATGACATCTATAAACGGATAGACTTTCTACTCTTCTCGGGTAAGGACGAAAACCCGTAGGCCCCATATCACATCACTTTCACTTCATCTGTATCTTTTGGGACGTCAAAGAAGCGAAACCGGCAGCCACACCACTGTTCGAAAAGAGCAGAAAAAGTAGACCCCGGTGGTGTGTTTCCAACCTTTCCTGAGCTGAATGGGTTATCTGTGAGGAGAGATCTTAATAATATAGTTATAAGGATAATCTCATGATCCTCCTTTAGGTGTCATAATGGCTACCTCTAAACAGTGTATGTATGCATGTATGTATATCTGATAAAGCAAAATTTAAAAAAAACAGCTCCACTACCATAAGGCCTGTAAAAATACCTAATACTGAATCAGCTTTCTGTGATTGATTACTGTGGGTCTACTGAAAAAAAAAAATTCATTTTAAGCTGCATTTAGCAGCGGAAGACAAGCAGTTTGAGCCAAACCCAGGCCTGAACCACAAGTGGAAGTCCAAAAAGGCGACTAGAAAAAGGTATGTTTAAGCGCTAGCCAAACGGCGCCATTGCGGTGTTTTAAAAATGTGCATTCACTATCCAATATATATGGCTAAAATTATCTCTTTTTATCTTTTATGGTTTTCCCGTCTGCAATACGTTCTGGATTGTGATTTCCCAAGCAAGTTCATTGCTTACGTAAATCGCTTGGATTAACGTGGCTCATTTACGTTGATTCAGTCGACCACCCTGATAAAAACGATAAGAGTTTAATAAGGAATCAAACTGTCGTCAATCAGATTTCCCAAGTAGTTTTTCAAGATCTAATCTGTGGTCAGATACGCCCGTCCACTCCCATACAATAAATTTAGCAAATTCAGTAGAACAATCATAAATCTGTGTACAAGTTTTATGTTTGAGTGAAAGCACGATTATTATTGATGATGATTTGTCGGGAAGACCAATAAAAAACAACTATTACCTGACTAAACTTAGATGGCCTTTGCGCTGAAAGTGTTTATGAAGTTTTAATTTTTCTTTTCTGTTTTGTCATTAAGTCTGATATGATACTTCCTTCAACATGACCAATCTTTCACGTACTGAGCATGCGCGCCGATGTTGCAGCAACAGGTCTTATGCAGGTCTAACTGAAAGTACCCAATACCACTGTCGAGAGACGATATAGTTGGCGCCGGAGTACTGCTGGTGAGTACGTTAGATCTCACGGCATTCATCATTCGAATTAATTTGCATGATTCGCCTTCTGTCATTGGAAAAGCCAGTATTTGAAACGAATAAAAAGCTAATAAAAACTTTGTTTAAAAAGTGTTGAACGAACTAGACCTCCAGGCCCATGCCCAATGATGTAACTACTTATGGTCAGTCTCTCTTTTTGTGTTCTGATTATAAAACACGTCAAAGCTTATTGTAAAGCGGCGTCGGCTTCCTCAAATGAATAGATTCAAACACAGGAATATTCCATACATCTAAAAAGAGCGGTTATGAAAAATTTCCCAGCGAAACTTGAAAGCAAGGTAGAGATATTTTTGCTGAGGTGGTTTTTGGCCTGCTTAGTCTTTTCAAGTTATCATCGACACTTCCGAATAATTTCCTTCTCTAGTGTGTAACACAGCCGTTTCTCTTAGCTCCTCGCCACCTCGGACCGGATTCCTCCTGGCGAAACGCCCTTAGCGGCGAGAAGCAAGGAGAAGCGGTTGTATTCGCAGGCTATTCTTGGTGAGCAGATTTCGAAAATAACTGAAGGGACCAATATTTACTGTTTAAGCTTTTCTGGAATGTGATGACGTGTTTGTAGCTTTGAGAGAAAAAAAACTTGCATTTCTTTACCTTTCCTCTTAATTAACTGGCACCACGGACCGGCATTGATGAGGCCAATATTGAATTCATACCTCGTTTATAACAAAGAAGGTCTTGCAATATCTTACTACCTATGCTAATCTTACCAAGATTTACCTGTTGTAAAGTAATTTCAGCGTTTTTTCTCTTTTTACGGTACATTTTAAGCGCAATGCTTCTTTCAGCGTTTTTTCCGCATTTTGAATGTCGGTCATTTTTTTCATTTTATAGCTTTTGAAAGTTGAAATCTTTCGCATAAATGGTAATCGCATAGGACCACCTTTCTTCTCTTACTTATTTCTCTGCTAATCATAACGGCAGTTAATTGTCTTTTTTTGTTTGTTTGTTTTTGCAAAAAAAAAATAACAATATATTTTTCCGCAAATTTTACGCGATTTGAAACGGTACTTAAAAATAGTCAAGTGTCAAGGAGTGCAAATATTAGTTAACACTGTTTATAAATAAAATGTATCTATTTTGCACGTACGCCAGCGTTGTCGGTTTATAAATTACATTATCAAGCGAAACACTGGAAAATCTTGGCAATAAGGCTAACCATGACTGGCCTAAGCGATAGCTCACTATAGTAAAAGGAACGTTTGAAGCTCGCGTGGAATTCACAGTTCAGAACAAGGAACTTTCTCGAATCTCGTTTGCCAAGTTGCCATAATTCTTCGGGTAATTTTAGATATTTATATTTTTGCATATCAGACAGACTCGAGCTTTCATTAAGCACGAATGAAGTCCGTTACGGTATTAACATTCTTTTCGCATCATCACATTCTGTTTGAAGGTTTAAGAATTTCGATCCAAAACTATTCACGCTCTCCTCATTGGTATTTAGCTGATTTATGTGCTTATTTCAAAAGACCTTTCCATTGGTTTTAGACAGCGCCGCGGTACAATCACATTTCATTTTTTGCAAAATATAAATGCGGCAAAGCAAAAAATACCGGCCTGCTTTGATGCATTTGTCCCTCAAATCTAGTGAAAAAATAATCAATCACTTTGTTGAGCGATTTTGCTCTATATTTAGCTTTATGAGCTATAAAAGGGATTGTTTATAAGGTCAAATAGTTAAGGAGCGTGTGACATTGATAGGTGTTTTATAGCCCAGCGTGTTTTGCTGAATAGCCATCGAATATTCCGGACTCATGTGATACGCCGTGTAACACAGATAAAAAAGGATACTTTTTCAGCCTTTGTTCAGAGTTGTCATATACTGTTTTGCATATTATTTTCTGTGTATAAAATCAGTCATTTTATAAGCAGAGTTTTTTTTAAAACAAGCAACTAAGTAGAAATATTAAGAATTAAAACACGACGTTTCGGGGTCTTCATGACTCCATTATCAAGAGAGATGTGAATAATAAAGCATGCAAGAGATGAGAAGAAATAATTTACATACTGGTTCATCAGTTCCTGGTTTTGGAAAACATGACATTTACTCTTAGCGCTTCCGCTAACAGGCCAGTTCACATCTTGAACTTAGATGATTTTAATCTGTTACTTTACTCCAACACTCTGAAACTGACAGGAGACTGGCTATGTGGCTAGCCTGGCCCCATCAACCAAATGATTTCCAAACATGCTAAAAAATAAAGCGCTCTTTGAAAAATAGTGCCTCAGTTTATTCCCCTTATGCTTGTTTTCTTTTCTTCTCTTTTTTTTTCTCGAAATTAAAGAATCAAAGTCGAAAGGTAATTTCAGTGACAGCTAAGCTCTTCTGTAAGTATTTTTTAAATTTTTTCATTTTATTAGATGCGAAGATTTTCAGGACAGTCAAGTCAAATGTTAAATGGCAGGGCATCATCCATGCACAGTTCCGACAAACGTTCCTAACATTCCTAACATTTTTTGCATAATTAATCCACATTGTCCAAAATAGCAAGTGTTGTTTTTTTGATTAGGTAAATCAATAAGTCTTCTGGAATAGAAATTTCCTCTAATTTCAACATTCACGGGCGAATGATTTTGCTTGAATTTCTGTTTTGTAGTATTATGTGATCTGTGCACGTGGAATCAGGCCGAGTTTTGTTAACTGAAGAATTTTTGTTGGATTCGATCGGCGGATGGGAGAGCCAACGGAAATCTCCGACATATCGGGGGTTTGGCACAATTGACGTCACAAATAAGGACTGTTTGATGTTTGTCCGGGCCATTTATAATGAGTAGCGGAAGACGGACCAATGAAAATTAATTGCTTGGCGCAATCATGTCGACTTCAAATCGTGACATCGTAAATACCTGGCTCGAATTTCAGTCACTTAGCGCAACGCAAAGGGAAGAAAAGAGTAGTTATCGCTAATGGAGAAATCTGATTGGGAAATCACGTGTTTGAGAGCGAGAGAAATGGTTTCATGTGAAAGGGATCTCGACTAGGGTCCTTGGAAGATGCTTGAGCTGGTTTTAGACCCAACATGACGGATTTCAAAAACAATTCTCGCTCTTTTACAAACCGCCGAGATTTGCGGTCACGTGACATGACACCCCCGCGAGGAGCTTCGAAAGAACCAAAAGACACGCATGCGTCCGGCTCCTCAGAATCGTCCGTCAAAATGGCGTTAACTTGTAAAGTTCAGTATTTGGACGATACGGATCCATTTGCAAGCACAAATTTTCCTGAGCCAACACGGCCTCCGACGTACACGTTTCACTTGAATATTCCACTTTTCCAGCAAATCGCCGGCCTTCATCGATTGTTATCAGCGCCTCACAGTGTACGCCGCTAATTTTGTTGTTTACGTCTTCAGCTGAGCTTGGAATATTTTCTAAAGTTGTTAGGTGTTTGCGTTCGATTTGTTTTTAATGATTCTGGTCATTTATTGGTATAGATCGATGATGTAGCTTTGCAACTGTCGCATAACGGATGCTACTTGGACTTAGAAAGCTCGCTTGAGGAACAAGCCGACATGTTGGAGGGATTTTTAGACAGGTTTGAGAAGGCTTGCTTTTATTTTAGCTCAAGCTTAATGCCATGGAAACTTTAAGTGTCTCTAAAGCCACTGTTTTATTCTGTAGGAATTAGGCTTGCTTTTTTTATTATTCTGCTCGTAAACTAATTACTTCTTTTCTTTTATAGCCGCAAAAACACAATAATTCTGCGAACAGCCCTCTCTGTTCGAGTACACAACTGTATAGGTAAGCCTAGTAAAATTAAACCTACCGCAATAGATGGCTTGCAAAATGTTTCTGTTCGTTACCTTTAAAATGTCCATTTGCACCTTTTGGCTGTACATGGACGCATATTTTGAAAAAAATTGTAGCCATTGCGTGTAGAGAACGGGGACGAGGAATTTTGATTTAAATAGAGTCTAATAATATTAAACTAGCTGTCTGATCCTTTTCGAATTTTATCAAGCACACACAAAACCCTTGCCAACTGTTCCAAAACTAAGTTACTTGTTATGAGTGAAAGTCTCTTTAAGATTTGTCGAATACTTAGATATAACGTTTAGAGTTTGCCGTTTTGGCTTTTGGTCAGGTAACAACGCGAAATCTCTGCAAGGCGCTAGGTTACTTCGCTAATGATTGCTTGCCGTTTGTACAGCATGCTGGCATTTGAAGTAGCTAGGTTATGTTACTGTTTGCCAGCTTATTTGGGTCAATAAGTCAACAGACGGCTAGTTAGAATTTTGCGATTTCCGTTGTCTTCTCTGAGCTTTGGAATAGTACAAACAAATAAAACCTAAAACAATCTTGTTGTTAGTCAAGCCGGTAACTTCCAATCTTTGACGGGAAGTTTTCACCTAGCGCGTTACGTTTTTCAAGGGTAATTTGCATAAAAATAGGTTTGTAATCTCCGCTTGGAGCACTGATCAGTTTACTCGCGGGATATTTACTTTGAATGATCTGTATGGCTCCTGTGCGTGAGATGTGATTGTTCGTGACTTCTTTCTTCCCTAGCGAGTTTCAAAGGCACGTTTGGTCGATGCACTGTGAATGAACAGCAAGACCCAAATAACGTACGGGGTTGATTTCGTGTTGTCCGTTTCAGGGTCATGCTGATTTCACCCTAATGGTTGAGCTAATTCTTTTAAGTGAACTTTTGATGACTCATCGCGAGAAATTTAGTCACAACACCATTTTTAGTCAAAGACTCCATTTTTGCTATCTCCTGTTTGCATGCTTTCGTGGCAAGGCAGACCATTTTCGGGTCCTGTTTTGAATAGACTTTCTTTTGGTGATTATTCATGCGAGACATGACTGACGATGAATAACTGTGGGCCTTATTTGTCCTGGAAACAGTGTATTGTTGTTCATGCGTGTGTGTGGAATTGGTGAAAATTTGTCTTGTATTACCAATCTTCCGCTGTCATCAAGTGGTCATGAATAATTGTAAGACAAACCAAAAGCTTTCAAGTTTATTAAGGAAACTGATTGAAAATGGAACGCATCAGTTGATTATTTTCATATTTTGTTGCTTCCGGTCTTTTGTAGAATGAAATATTCTTCTCAGTAAGCCTTCTCAAAATGCTAGTTTTTGACAGAGGGTAAAGAAAGCCAGTGCAAACTAGTCAAATCTACGCAAGTTTTTGTTATTAATAAAAAAAAGAGCGATCTCTTCAATTTCACTGATTAAAAAAAAATTCAGAAAACAGTAGAATCGTTATTTTGAGAGAATTTAAAAAGAATGTTTAATTCAACCGTTTCTGGGGGAAAAATTATGGAATTATTGTGTTTTGTTCAGAACTGTGTACATGGCTGGAGATTTTTTCTAATCATCTAGTGTCCCAGTATTAAAGTGAAAAGTATTTTCTTTTGATGTGGCCTGCAGATGAAATACTGGAAATATTAACTGAATAAAGGCAGATTATTTTTAACTTGACACAATTTTATATAAAATGTCTATTCTTAGATAAGTATTCTAAAAACACTTTGGTAGTTTCCTGTATAGAAAATACCCAAGTGACAAAGCTTTGCACCCTGAATTAATAGTGCAGTTGTACAGAATATTTTGGAAAATTAGCCTGTAAAAAGATCACAATAAATTCCCAAAAATGTGAAATATATTTGAAAGATGAGACGAAACTGATGGATGAAGACATTCAAAAAGAAATTTTCAAAATGTCTGGAAATTAAAATAATTACCACAAAAGGTTAAAGTATATACATTTGAAGAATTAAGAAAGTTTTCAAAACATGTCAACTATCATAGTTTTCATGCTCTGTCTAATTTTATGCTAAAGAAAAGTGGAAAATTAATTCATGTTTTAGTTATTATATGAAAAGTATTCTGTATATTTTTGTGAAAATTAGGATTGCTATCCTAGGTATAGAGCCTATTTTCCATAAATAAGAAAGTTTGCAAAACGACATAAAAGCATGCGTTTTCTGTTCTAAAAAAGTGTTGAGATTACTGAAACATGCAAAAAGTAGAAATGTATGGACTAAACATGCAAGTAACCAGTTTCCGTAAACTTCTAATTTTGGAGGGATTGGGAGGCAGTGTGACAAAACAGCAATGTTTGAAAATAAATGTCTCATTGGCATATCAAAATGAAAGTACTATTTTATTCATGGGTTTGTTTTTAGGGCTGTCATTGAGATCTAGGGAGGGGTGGGGGAAGGTTAGGGGTTTCCCCCCCCACTATGAGAAATGTGATCCCCAGCTACTTTCATGCTAAAATTGAGGAAAAGTAAAACCTATAGAAATTCCTAGTTGTTTGATTAACCGGCTACTTGTTATATGTACCTGGCAACTCGAAATCTTAGTGACAGCCCTGTTTTTGTTTCTTTCAAAATTAATATTGATGATTTAGTTATTCTGTTTATAATAATAATTAACATTAGCCAGAAATGTGTACTTCAAAATTTTTACATAAACGTAGTTGAGTTAGATTGGTTCGAGCGCCAGCTTGGACAATGTAGATTCTCCCTTGCCAATCACCTTATTCTATCATTGTCGTTCTGAGTTTTCTGATACTGGCGAACCCAGTGTCCACAAGAAGTGTATGTCTGAATGTGGTGTTAGGTTTTCCTTTCTTAGATTGTCCATTATACATAGGGGTCATAATTGATATTGTGTTGTACATTGATATAATTATGTTATATAAATATTGATAGCATGCAAATGCTGTGTAATCCACAATATAAAATGAAGGCATCAGTTAACATCTGCAGTGTTATACAAATTACCAAAATTAGTGTCTGCAAATTTAAACATTTGCAGCAGTGTCCAGGTGTGATTTTTTTATGTCAGTGGATTTCGGCATGTTTTTCTTCTGCAATTTTTTTTAAAACCAATTAAGTGTTTTCAAATACTACCGCTAATCTGATACAATGTGGCCTTTTGTTCAAGCTCTCTCTGAAGACACCATGAAGTAACATAATCCTATTAATGTCAAAGTTATTTTGGGATTTCAAAAACAAAGTAGTTTGTAGGTGTCCTTACCTATGATATTCCAATCAAAGAGCCATTTTTAATAAGTTAAGCATCAGCAAGATGAAACAAGGATGAATAAAGATTCACAGTGTGTGATTTAGCAACAACAAAAGAAACCAACAGTGGTATGAAAACCATTACAATTTTCCAGAAACCAACCAATGAAAAAGATAGACTACAGTTACCCCTATTTTGCTGGTCTTAATTAGTTATAGTAAGTAGTTCATAAGGTGCAAAACATTAAAACAAATTTTGTTTTGACTTCACAATTTTTTTGAGTATTCCTTGTCGATGTTCTCACGGTGTTGTCTTGCTTAGCTAATCCACAGCGTACACATGCATGGCATTGTTAATAATCATCTACCATAAGGGAATGGGCATTCCTAAAAAGAACTACCTATGAAGCTTAAGGGGAGACATGGGCCAACTGATACCATTTACATCAGGCATCATTCGCGTTACATTGCATATTCGACATTGTGCAATTCTTTAGTATGCTGTTGCCTATGAACCACCAATGAAATATTATTTCTTTGTTTACATGTAGTGCTTGTCCCTCTACATCTCTGACAAATCTTTATACATTTTTTTTTCATGAAAATGTGTATGTTATTATGTATGTCCATGGAGACTCATCTGATCAAGGAAACTAGAAAAACAAATATAATATAATAATGTGAATTACCTAGAAATCATTTTATTTTATGTATGTGAATGGATTTTATAGGTAGAGTAACCTGCTTGTACATTGCAAGCTCGATGTAATGAGCTGCCAGAGATGGGTATATATTTTGTATTTGTTATAACATGGTACGGTATGTTGTTGTAGCCTGGGTCAGGGAATATCAACCATACGTGAGCGTGAGTTTATTGTCAGGAGAAACAGTTCCGACACCCCTGAGTTGTTTGTTTTATAGAGAATTAATTTGAAGTTCCACTGTAATGCATGTGTTAAGCTGACAGCAATCATTTCAAAAGTGACATTCGACATGAGTTAACATGCTCACTTCGAAATCTTTTTCTCTTACAGCAAAACTGCTTGCTGCTTCAGGCAGAGAACTTAGAAGGTCTTTATTTTCCTTGAAGCAAATCTTTCAGGTAGGGTTCTATTGTATGAGGAAAAGAAAGAGGGAAACATTATAAGTTAAAATTATGACTTTCCAATGGTGCACAAGCTCCTATCCTTATACATGATTGTGCCGGTGTACATACATGTAGGTGTGAGTCTTATGGCTATGAATTTTATGCAAATTCACAGAGAAAAATTATTGATCTTCCTGGTTCACAAAAAGGATGTATATGTTGTGCTTTATTTTTATCCCTGGTTTAAATTTTATTTCCCTTGGGGTATGGTAATTTATGATAATGAGTTTAAACAAAGGGAAACAAAATTTAAGCCAATGATAAAATTGAACCACAACATATAGTATAAATTAATTAGTTCCACCCTACATAGATGCATGTGTAGCTAAGACAAGGCCTAGATGAGTTAAAATGTTGGCATTTTAACTTTGTCTGTGAACATTCTACAGGACGACAAGGACCTTGTGCATGAATTTGTCAATTCTGATGGCTTGAGTGCTCTGATATCTGTAGGACAGGATGCTGACCAAAACTATCAGAACTACATCCTCAGAGGTAATCAAACAATAAAAAATTGACTTTTATTTTGAATACAAATACTTAATTATGCCTTCTCAGGAAGAATAAAACAAATAATTCAAATGCAACATAACATGGTTAAGAATCCCAATTGGTAGGAGGCAAACCACTTGGCTACATTACAATGGTGGCCAAGGTTTTGATTTCGGGGCCACCGAGAGTAATTCCTTAAGCTAGTAGGCAGGCTAGCTACTCGGGGCCTCTGGATTACAAGCTCAGCTCTATAACCACTTAGCCACACTTCCTCCTTTCATAAGGAAACATTATAATTTGTTGTTATTTATATATATTGTGTACTGTCATTGCCTGCGGTTTATAGGCTGATTAATGATTATAGGGCTTATACTAGAGTCAAAATAATGTTTCGCATACATCCAAGACTGTGTTCTCACAGTGTCTCTAACAGTTCCTGGGGGCCTTAGCTGACTAACGTTTGCCATTTGGGCAAGTGGAAAAACATACTCTGTTCCTGGGTACTACGCAGGATTGCATCCCTGAGAGCTTTAGCAGGGCTTCTCTCGGGTCAGTCTAATAGCACCTCCACATGTGCATGGGGTGCAATTCAGCAATTTATTGTCCATCTGGATACATCTCTGTGTCAAAGTTGTCATTTATTAATCTCTTTTTCTTGGCTTTAACAACAAAACATTTAATCTTGCCTGGGCTTTTTGAAAACACTAAGTTCTGTTTTCAAGATGCGGGTGGGAGAAATAAACATTTGAGATGATGATTTCAAATATAACAATGATGAAATTATTGTTTACAGCCATTGGACAGATTATGTTGTATGTGGATGGAATGAATGGTGTTATTAACCACAGTGATACTATCCAGTGGCTTTATTCCCTCACAGCCTCCAGAGTAAGTAATTATACATACTAACCTTAGCTTTAATTATTCTTTAAAATTTTATACAAAGTTGTCATCAGTTTTATTAGTGAACATGTTAATAATCAACAACAGTCAAAATGTTCCAGGTAAAATGTGATTTCAGGTTAATTTTGATTTAACATAGGTTGATTTTAGGTTAGAAATTGAGAATCAACCTAGGTTAAAAAATTTTAACCTGAAATCATATTAACCTGTAACATTCATATGCATTTTTGTGAATGAGCGAAACAGTGGACCAAGACGAAGTTCAGGTCAATAAAAACACAAAAATGAATGACGCTAATATCAAGCCATCTTGACTGAACAAGATAGTGCAACCAATCCAAGATCCTCCTGCAATGTTGACTAGAAACGGAAACCACTGACTGTTTAGTTCTAATCTTTTTTCATTTTTTTTTTCTGTTGTGTAAGCTGCTGCGAGCCACTGATTGGTCCATTAGGTGTCAAATGTAGTAATTTTTTTCTATATTTGAACTACACTGTAAATACTTGTACTTCGCCTTCTTGGCTATTGTTCATTTTAGCATGTTATATAAAAAAAAATGCAGGAAATCCTGATGGGGCAAGATGTGTCCTCCTGGAAATTGTGCATAATTTGCTAATATTATTCACACTCTACCAGAAGGCCTGTAAGGAGGTTTGACAGTTATAAAGTCAACTCTCTTTGGAGGGAAACCTCCTACAATGGACGCCTAGAGTTGATCACTGCCATTTTTCAGTCCTTTTCTTTCATTCCCTGTAGTAAGGCACCTGTGCAAGAGGTATACATAATCCCAGGTGCAATGATCCACTTCATAGAGAATGGACTGTAGTTTGAGATCTTAATGCCTAAAAATCAAAACAAGGGCATTTGAGTCACAGAGTAGGTCTTTTTTTTTAATAACATTTATTGGTTACAACACTTCTAATGACAATACTTACATTTACATGGAGGAAAAATAAAAATAACGTACAAGAAATAATGGAAAAATACAATGTTACAGCATTTACAACTAATTAAGCCTAAAGAAATTTACAAAATTAGCTACTATTTGCAAAATTGCAAAATAAAACATGATACAACAAAAACATAAGGAGTCTGTCCTACCAAGTAAAAGGTGCTTTGCATTCGCATTTGTTTGTGCATCACTTTTAACTTTTGGAACTTTTGGAATTATTTAATAACAGCAAGTTTATTTGTCCAAGGGGCAAAGTTTAAGAGGACAGAGTAGGTTTACTGTTAATGCGAAACTCTGTTTTCTTGTCTTCAGTTTCGACTTGTGGGAAAGACAGCTCTGAAACTTCTTCTGGTGTTTGTGGAGTATACAGAATCTAACTCAAAGGTGTTGTATGATGCAGTTCAAACAGTGGATAGTAATCAAGGTATGCTAAATAGATATTTTTCTTGATTATTATTCTCCACTATCCCCTGTCTTAAAAGTTTAATGTGACTAACTATCATTAAGGCAAAGTTAAACTCAAGCGAGTTGGCCAGTGGTCTTCTCCCACTCCAGTATGTGACCTACAGGGCAGCCCTTGGGGAATTGCAGGGCTCCTTGTGTGCTCTTTTGCTAGTGTTGCGTTGCATTGTAAATTTGCTTGCTGATCAAAGCGGATCAATTTTTGCCTTCTTGCGAATCATTGCTCTTGCTCTCTCTCCTACCTCCCTGCTTGGTGGTTTCGTAAGTATTTTCTTGGATTAGTGTTCTCTTAGGTAAGTATCTCCACTGAATTTCATTCAGTGTGACGGTGCTGGTTAGTGGCTGCTCTTGGGGTGGTTCCTGCTTCCAGCGTTGCCATGGATATCTTCTCTCTGCTTATTGCGTTTGGCTCCCCACTAACCTTTAAGGCACCTGCTCCCAAGCTCATCATTAGTGATGAGTTTTATTCCAAATGATCAAATGCCATCCTATTAAAGTGAGCAGTGGCCATACTAACAGGGTTTTCTTCTTATTGCTGTAAAACATGTAATTTGTTGGTAGGCTGGCATTTGCCAATAATCAGCCTGAAGTTTGTCAACAATGGACCATTGCTATCCATCTTGTTAGTAACCATTTGGACTTTTTTGGCAACTTGGAAACTTGCACTATGGCCTGTGTCACAGATGTAATCTAAGTTCACCGGTTATTAATGTCTGCAAAGCAGTGCAGATATCCTTGTTCTGGCCCCCTATAGACTCAGCAATTACTGGAAGTGTGTTTCGAATTTCCTTTCAACCTGATTGGCAAATTGACAATGGCTTTTTTAACAGGCCAATCATGGCACGTACTCAAATCCTTGTACACAGGTGGGGGCTCAGAACAAGGATTTCGGCACTGTTTAAAAGACGGACTTAACCAGAGTTTAGGTTCGTCTGTGACGCAGGTTAGTTGCACTATGGATTGTTAACATTTCTTGCTCCTTGTTTTTTAACTGAAAGGGTTTTTGTGTCCTAATAGGTGTCAAGGACTGGCAAGAAATCATAGGAATAATGACAGACAAAGAATCACAGGCTGATGAGGAGATTCTCATTTACGCTATGACACTCATTAATAAGGTAGGATCAAAGCTTCATCATAATATTATTTTGTTGTGACAAAAAAATGGTCTTTGGTTAGAACACCTCATTCCAGTGAAAGAAAGTTTGTATTAAATTGGAAATCCTGGTTTCCATTTTGCCTGTCCAATCAAAATAACTGGAAAGTTCTTTCAATTTTTTAAAGCCACACTCAGCAACACTAGTTCTGAGATGACCATGGTTATGAGTAGAACACTTGTGTGGTACAAATAATTATACTTTGATTATATTGGAGCTTCTCAGGTCCTTGCACTGAAGGTCATACAGTAAACACCCGCATATAAGAACACATGATTTCGGAGGTCAGGCTGATTGATTTCTTATTTATCGGGTGCTTAATGACAAATCAGTCTCAAAATGTTCTCAAATTTTTATTTAGTAATACTACCCAAAACGTGTTGCTAGAGTTATATTTAGCATATTTTAGGAAAATAAAATAAGTAATTATTCTGTAATTTGATTATATTAACAAATGAAGTTATCTGACAGCAAACATAAACTTACATGTTTTGTAATTATGACACTTTTTCCATTTTATGAGAACATGTTACAATTTTCAGGGTGATCTTGTTCTTATAAAAATGGGGCTTTATTGGCCAAATTTCAGCCTGGTGTTCTTAATCCATTTGTTCTTATATGCGGGTGTTTACTGTATTCTGTTTTACATGTTTAATGGATTTGATCATTAATATCATTCATTTCAGGTTCTTTATGCCACCCCAAGTCAAGATGGATTTTATGACATAACAGATGCACTTGAAGAACAGGGAATGGAGCAGATTATCAAGGTAAAATTTATGGGCAAATCTAGAGCGGAACCAACGGTCTATGCCACCCCCCCCCCTCCTCCACCCCTACTCCCAACACAGCTTTTCTTGAAAATTTATGTTTCAGTTGTAAATAGTTTTAAGCAAAATGTATCTTCTAAAACGTTAATTTCCGGTCACTACTGCTCTCCACTACCAACATGATATATCAAAGCCATATGCCAACCAAAAGTATCGTTTAACAAGAAGAAAAAGAAGTTTAATTTTTTGGTTACATACAATGTCTGGTTACAGATGCATCAGAAGAAAGCAGGTACAAATATTGATTTGATGGAGCAGTTCAATATTTATGAGGTAAGTGTTCATATGTAGATGTTCTGTTGATGAGAATAATGACCTTTTTGCACCACGCAATATTATTTTTGTAACTAGTGTTCTGATTGTTTTGATTATCATGTTATTCAAACCTTTTTTAGTCAACACATTGTTGTAGTCAACTGCATCTAGTTAAAAGTTTGTTTCAAATTTTTGTTGCAATCAGTATTGAACATATCGAAAGAAATGAGATGGAATAGAAAAAATGAACAGAAAAGTAAAATGTTATAAAATAAAACACTCTCCTAGCTGTCATAAGCTACTTTGCCTTATGATGATGATGATGATGATGATTTCAATTCCATCTTCTGTTTCACGGTTACACCCAGCAATAGAGAGTCGCGTTTACTGCAAACGGCAAACGGCAAACGTGAATTTGTACCAGAAGACTAAGTTTTCCCTTTACGCGTCGTTTACCGTTCATTACTCCCTTTCAAAAATGAGTAGCTTCACGCCAGTTTTATCCTTAAAAACTGTTGTGAACAGTTTTTATCTGCTCATTTTCTATTTAGAGAAATTCTCAACTTGAAAGTGACGTTTGCTATTTGCCGTAGACGTGACCGTAAATTTCTCGAATATCACCATTGCTTGAGGTACTAGTCCACGTGCATGTCACTAACATACGCCCTAATGTAGTTTGTACTTTGTTTATTTTAAGACGGCCCTCCGGATTGAGGATGGCGATGAGGAATTTCCTGCCTTTGGAAGCTCACCTTCAATAAGGTATTGCATTAACTTCAAGTCATAACAAAGGTATAACCCTTTTGATTTTAGACCATGTTATGGCACCACACAATACTAAGTGGTGTTTAAGTCAAGAGCTGCCAATCAACAGTCATCGAATGCTACGTTGCTACACCATGGTGATCTTAAAGGATTGCACCTTAATGGCATATTTTGGGTAGTGCAGTTTTTTGTAAAGATTTCATGCCAGACATCTTGATTTCCACGAAATAGCTAAAGTACCATAGTTATCATGCGCTCTTTACAATATTTGTTACGTACTTTTTTGCTACTACGAAGACCAGCCACTTCAAACAATGATTAGCTTGTATGCAGAAGTATCTAAAAGTTTTATCCCAAAAAAGATAGTCTTTGTTGCCTTTTAGCATATCCCATCATTACTCACACGTTAGAAATGTTTTTCAGACAACACATTGTACAGTCCATCCTCGCGCGCAAATGATTGATTCATTTCTAACAAATGACTTCTCTCCTTAGACAAAGAAAGAGAACAGCGGCGTTTGGCACAGGTAATAAACTTAGAAGGCAAACAAGTGTTTTTTTCCCAAAATCGTTATTGATCAGGAAAAGTAAAGTAAGACTAAATTTATTTTTTAAAAGGTCTTGTTGGCCTTGATTTCAGGCTCTCTGATTCTGAAAAAAATGCTCTGCTGGAGTTGTGTTGTAGTTTTATTCAGTTCGGTACTGGTAGTAAGCACACACTTCTGCTTATACTAGGCTGTTCCGCCTTATAAACGCCCTAAGGATCGTACCAATGAACCCAGAATCCGAGGTCTGGCACTTAGGGATAATTTATTTGTGGTTCGGTGCAGGAACGTCTCATCAGCTGCGTTAACACCCGTCCTGGTTGTTTAAAAGTTCAATGATGCGATCAACCAAAAATATACATGAAATACGTTGAGAGGTTATAGACCCTTTAAAAGGAAGGATGGCAATCATGAGGATTCCTGTAGTTTTCCTTTGAAATGCTTGCAATGCCCTTCTCCCTTTCACTAAAAGTGCACAGAAGATTACTTAACAATTGTCTAAGACAACGTTCACGTTTAACGTCGTAGGCGACAGAAGGCGTAGTCGGCGGCATAACTCCATCAGCCAGATCGATGTTTCATACATCACAAAAGGCAGTCATTTGGCACCGCCTGGTGCTCAAAGTCGAGATGGCTTACACAAGGTAGCAAGTGCTCCAAATGTGGGAACAGCGGTGAAAGTAGAACCCCCCGCGTCGCCTGTTAAGACATCAGCTAGTACCACTCCATCTTCTTCAACAGAAAGTGAAATCGACGAGAAAGAAAGAAGTCGGTTGGCAAGGAAGTATGTAGTGCACACACACACAAATAATTATTGTAATTGCAAGCTCGGTTTTTGTGCCATTTTTATGGCGTCAAGCGCTTGAAAATCCAACTGAACTTAAGTGTTTGTGTTCATGGTCTTGCCAGATGGTTTTACACCAGTACATGAAAGCTGTTAGCAAGGTGTCTTTGGCTTAGAAAGGGTGCGAACCTTGAAAATGTTGTACCAGCGGAAAAAACATAAACAAAAACATCATTTTGCGGGTTACTCCAGCTACCTGGAGTGAGTGACCGCGGCGGACTGCGCAAAGGGATCAACGCAGGCTAACTACGGCTTTTACGCAAAACTTCCTAACAAATGATTCTGAAATTAAGGTTGAAGAGCTGAAAAAAAAATCTTTTTTACAGGGAGCGTCGCGCTGCCAGACGAGCCGCTCTTGGATTAACTGAACCCGAAACGAACGAATCTACAAATTCTAGGAAGAACGAAAGAACTACTAGGCAAAGAGCGGATAGTAAAGGCAGCAATAATGATAGAAGTCATTTAGAGGTAACTTCACCAGTTAATGACAGTCGACCCCTCTCACCGCGCTCATCACCACGCCCATCACCTCGGAGCTCCCCAAGATCTTCCCCGACTCAACGAAGAAATTTCAAGTTTGAGGAACCCAAAACAGAAGGTGAGTGCGGAGTAGAGTGAATCCGTTCGCTTTAGGCAAGACGTTTCTTCATTTAAGTAGGTTTCTATGCTTTAATTGTTGTGACGGCCCTGCAGAGACGGCCTCGTGTTTGACCTTATTTTATGGAGTGGTTTCAAATGATTATGGATAGAAGTACTTCACGCTTGCTTTGGTTTAATACTTCGCTTCGCTTTCTCGTCCTCTCTGTGTTAGAAATCCGCTTGAGGCCTGCCTGGCCCCGCTTGTTCAAAATTTGCTGAACACTTTTAATCGGTGAAATCATTATGCTGTAGATATGTGTCAGGAAAACCAATGATAGCACTTACACCTTTTAACCCTTTAAGCCTCAAGATCCACATACAAATTCTCCAGACTGATCTCCATACATTTCTTTTAAGAATAGTTGAGAGAATTTGGTTTAAGATCAAAGCATTCTCCCTTTAGTAATTATCAAAGCATTATCCCTTTAGTAATTCTTATAACCTTTACTCTTGGTGATCTGCTGATGATGTTAGGAGAAAATTGATGTTGGTAGGTCACTCTTAGAACCTAAAGGGTTAAACACTGGCTAAGTAAGCCTCATGCAATTGGCGAGAGTAATTTTTTTCCGGTTTTTATTTTACGAAACTCTTTTGAAAACTGCTTTATCATTTGACGACGTTCATTTTCTTTTCGTAGGCATAGGTTCTTTTCTATTCTCTATCGCTCCGCTCAGCCGAATAGAAAATATTTCTGTTATAAGTATGAACAGACAAAAGAACCCAATGACACATGGAGGGAGCCGCTCGCAGTCGAGTTTAAGAAAAACGAATTAAAATTACAACAAAACCACCGAAATAAAGGATACATCAAGAAATAAAGTTACAAAGCACTAAGAATGGCTGGTTGTAAATTATAACATAAAAACTAAGAAGATATGCTAAACAAAAAAAATACAAAGTGAAAGGAGTGAGATAAATAAGCGCGATGCAACATTTAATGTTGAAACCTAGTTGCAACATTAGATAATCCTTATATAAGAAAAGGAAAAAAGCAGCCACGAGTAAACTGTTGGGCGTCAAGCGGTGTGAAATTTACAAGGAGGGGTTTATAAAGGGTCTAATGATCCCAATGGGAACTAAACAAAACAATTTAATCAACAAATAAAAGTTTAGAAAAACATTTTTCTTAGTCTTCGTCACAGTCATCATCATTATCATCGTCGTCAACATCATGATTGTCTTTATAGTGCAGTGTCATAGCACTAAGAGTTAATAATCGTATCCAATCGGTCGACTCATTTCACTGTCTCTTGCCTTGTTTTTTAGAGAAACTAAACGACCGGTCAAGAGGAAGTAGAGAGGAACAACTACGATCACCTGAAGACTCTACAAAACTGCGGAAGACTTCAGGGACGTCAGCTCGAAAGAATGACAACTCGGAGATAAGAGATGAAAAAACTTCACCTAGGAAAAAAGAAATGTCTGTTACAGCAGTTAGTAGGAAAAAGACCCCTGAGGTAAAGAAAGAAGACAAAGAACCTTTGTTCAATAATATAGACCACAACGGGTCATCTGGTCATAGAACTAGCGATGAAAGTACAGACACCGATGAAAAACTCGGTTCAAGTACCGATGATTTATTAAACGACGACAATGCGACAAATAAGCGAATTGCTGAAGAAAACGAAAAAAGGTCGAGCTCGCCTGAGAGAAGGACTAGTGTAACCCCAGGTTCTGGTAATGATATCCGACGTACAAGTGTTTCGGATCCTGAAAAACGTTCAAGTGTGTGTGAAGGCTTTCCAGGGTTTCCAAACAAGAAAATGATGTTATCTATGCTTTACGGACAACAAAAATCGACGGACGAATCGGACCGTAAAATTAGTGATCCCAGTTTGCAAGTAGGTGACTCTGTTCATGAGCGAAAGCAACAATTGTTATCTGTTGGAGACAATGATGAAGGAGATCATAAACCGAAGGAAACGCTGGCCGTTGAAAATTTAGTTTCCGATGCAGTGAAAAGGTTGAGCGGATGTCCTGAGGTGGACGAAGAGAACGAAGGACCGTCAAGTGTTCCTGAGGGTGATTTTGAAGGATTGTTAGATAAGGCAAAGGCTAAATTAATGAAGCAACCGTCTGATGATAAACCAGACCCGGCCGCAGAGGAGGAAGCCAGACGCCAGGAAGAACTTCGGAGAAGGCAAGAAGAAGAACGCCGTAAACAAGAAGAAGAAGCCGCGAGGAAGGCAGCGGAAGAAGCCACACGTTTAAAAGAGCTTGAATGGGAAAGAATGATAGTCCTAAAACGTAAACTCATTGTAAATGACTTTAATTTCACCGAGTTAGAAAACGATGAAGACGATCTTCTTGATTCTGCATCTACTGATGAAACTGATGCACATCACCACCCCCATGGGGGAGTTCCAGTGTTTGGAATTCCTCCCCCACCTCCTATGCCTGGCGGTCCTCCCCCACCTCCCCCACCCCCTGGTGGTGTAGGTCCGCCTCCCCCTCCGCCCGGACCACCAAAATTGCCGTCATTGAATGACGCTAATCCGAAGAAAAAGTTAGTTCGTTTGTTTTGGCAAGAGGTGAAAAACTCGCCACTTATAAATGGCGTAAACAAGACAATTTGGGGAAGTATTGACACTGTGGATATTGATACCAAGAAACTTGAACATTTGTTTGAGAACAAAACTGTTTCAAAGATTAAGGTAAGAGCATTTGCCGTCATTTTGTTTTCATATTTGTTCTGACTTAGTGGGAGTAATGAGGCTGAGGTCCGTTTTAGGCGTCAAATTTCCCACGTTCCGAACGTAGTGTAAATACTTAAGAAAAGGTGTTTTTTAGCGACGCACCTAGGACTTTTACGCTTTTATTATGCATTGATGCTACCAAATTTGCATTGCGAAGCGTCTTTACTTTAAAAGAAACGGTTTGCCCAATCATTTTGACAAAATCACTGCCCAAGAAAGCAAAAAGCCCACCTCCGTTGACGTGCGTCGCTCAAAAACGTCTTTGCTTAGGCTCACTAATGACATAGATGAATGGACTTAGGACGTAAGCATTAGAAAAGGAGCATTTTCGACGTCAAAAAAGGACCTGAAACTTGCTTTCCAAAGAACCCTTGCTTACTTAGTTTTGATAACTTATCTCTTTTATTTATTTATTTGTTTATCTTGTGAGTAGCTGTATCCACTCTTTGAACAACTACTGCCTGGACAACAAGGCGACGCACTTTCGATCTGGAGGTCTCGGTTCGAACCGTGCCGTTCCCGAGGCGTTTTTTTCTTTGGGCGCTTTCCATTTGTCAGAACCGACCGGCCAGCCCATTCCCATGACATCGTAATAAGAATTTCACTTTTAATCAAAACTAACTATCCAGATCAGTCAAATCGTAAACGTTATGCACTAAGGTGATGGTTTTTCAGCAAAACCTCTTGCAAAAAAACCTATTTCATTGCCAAAATGTCTGGTTTGGCCATGGTCCGGCCGGCCAGTTCTGACTTTTGGAAATCGTCCGTAGACTCTGTTTACTAAAGTCCACGAATGGGTATTGGTGACATTCCTGGGTTAGACTCAACATCCCATCCGGGGGGTGGTAATAGGCTTAGCCTGAGACCAGGCTATAACAGGCTGAATTAGCAAAAACAACTCAACGCCAAATGAGAACTCGAACGCGCGCTGAAAGGACTGAACGCGACTTCCGGCGTTAAATTGCCGGTCTGCTATTGGTCAAGTCGGTGTTCATGTTGGCTTTGCTAAAGCTGCGTAATATTTCCACCAGGTGCTTCATGGCACGAAGGATTCGTGGTTTGTGCTAGGCGTTGTACAAGTCTAACTCTCGCCCTCGTGGTAAATGAGTAATGTATTCCGTACCATTTGGGTCGACTTCCAGGCAGGTAGCTAAAAGATTTATTGAAACACTTTTTTCTTTTTTTATTCCGTTGTAGAAGAGTGAAATAGAAGACAAAGACAAGAAAAAGGAGATAGTCGTGCTTGAAATGAAACGCTCTCAAGCAATCAACATTGGTTTGACAAAGCTTCCACCGATCAGAACATTGAAGCAAGCTATCCTAAACATGGACAATGCAGTGATTGACAGAGAGGGAATTGACGTAAGTACAGCTAGTCGTTAGTCTACATTGTAGTCTCATACTTAGACCTTGTTTGTCCTTGTCACGCAATGCTAAGGAGGATTGCGTGACGAACCATGAAAATGTTTACGTAGGAGGCTACAGCTGTTCTTGTTGTTAAGAGCTGTCATAAGCAACCACGACGGCGACAACGGCCAAATCTTAGCTTCAAAAAGAGAAAAATAATTGCTGTCTTGTGTACGAAAATGTCACAAAAGTGCGATGCTCTTGCAGAGCTGTTGTTTTTCTTTAAACCTGTTGTACTTTATTTTCTATCAAAGAGTAGAGTTGTTAGCTTCTAGACGTATCAAGCTGATTTAGCAACAGAACGGGAACGTCATTTGACGACGGGAAAGCGCGCGGAAAGGACTAAACACGACTTCCGGTACCCAATTTGTCGCTCAACGATTGTTCAAGCCAATTATTTGATTTGCTCGCGCCGTCGTCAACTGACGTTCTCCTACTGCTGCTAAATCAGCCTATTAAAAGTGGAAAGACCTCACTTCCGTTTGACGTCACACGTGCGTCGCTCCCAAGTATATAGCCTGCAGTGCAGACGTTTTCTTCGGGCGCACGAATGTTTTGCTCGCGAAAGCGCCATGTTGAAATTCAAAAGTGAGAGGAGAAATGGAGCGAATTTTTTTCTCCACTCTCCCTCCCCCTTTTCCTTCTTTCGCCCTAGCACCTTCCCCAAGGGTTACTATTCTTACTGTCCCTAATCTTCCTCCGTCATAACATCAAAGATGGCGGTTACAACAGTACGAACATAAGCAAGCAGCTCCCGCCCGCCCAAAATACGCCTGCACTGCAGGCTACCAAGTATATTAATGACCCACCCTTCCCTGTATAAGCCTTCATTGCAGTCACCAATTGTCCTTTTTAAAAACTACATTCACGCAGACGATCAATGCGAGAGTAACAAAAATAAATATCATGAGATATTCGCAAGACGTTCTTGTTTCTTTTGACTTCAGATAGATTTTGATGGTTTGCGAATTTTTTGGCTTGTTTCAGAAATTGCTTCAGCTGCAACCAACAATGGAAGAAAAAACCAAGATACAGGAAGCGCAGATGTCAAATCCAGACATTCCTCTGGGAACAGCAGAACAATTTTTGTTGACCATGTCCTCTATTAACGAGTTAACTCCACGCCTTCATTTGTGGTCCTTTAAACTGGATTATGACCAGCTGGAAAGGGTGAGCCTGTAGACGGTTTGGTAGATTGTGGCCTTGTTTATGTGGTTCCCCCCTTCCCCCATCCCCTTCTCTCGTTATTCGTGGGGAGCACGTTGTCGCACAGTGGCGAGAGTGATCGTCTTTCACCCATGTGGCCCAGTCATGCTTTCCCCTGCCCTCAAAACAAATTCCAATTCGATATGGAACGCTCGTAAACATTAAAACGATTTTTTGGAGTGTTTCAATTTTGTTTCCCGATTTCGTTTACTTGAGATGTGTAGCCGCTCTAGAAGAAGGGTGTANTGATGGTTTGCGAATTTTTTGGCTTGTTTCAGAAATTGCTTCAGCTGCAACCAACAATGGAAGAAAAAACCAAGATACAGGAAGCGCAGATGTCAAATCCAGACATTCCTCTGGGAACAGCAGAACAATTTTTGTTGACCATGTCCTCTATTAACGAGTTAACTCCACGCCTTCATTTGTGGTCCTTTAAACTGGATTATGACCAGCTGGAAAGGGTGAGCCTGTAGACGGTTTGGTAGATTGTGGCCTTGTTTATGTGGTTCCCCCCTTCCCCCATCCCCTTCTCTCGTTATTCGTGGGGAGCACGTTGTCGCACAGTGGCGAGAGTGATCGTCTTTCACCCATGTGGCCCAGTCATGCTTTCCCCTGCCCTCAAAACAAATTCCAATTCGATATGGAACGCTCGTAAACATTAAAACGATTTTTTGGAGTGTTTCAATTTTGTTTCCCGATTTCGTTTACTTGAGATGTGTAGCCGCTCTAGAAGAAGGGTGTACCGAAAAAGGTTTTACTTCCCTCTGAGGGTGATGTAGCGGGATCAGGTTACATTAAAATCGCGCCAGATGATAAATACTCAGAAAATGAAATGGTAAAGTTTTCTACCCAGGTGGGTTGGTGCGAACGGGACACAAAGGCCCACGCGAGGTAAAATATGGGTATAATATAGTGAAGCTACGGAAAATTCTGTGTTAAAAGTCTAAGATCTGTAGCAGGAACAGGTTCTTGCAAGCGTCCAAGTACATGGTGTTAAAAGTTGATTGCAAATGGTCACAGAAAGTTTTTTTTAAAAAAAAACAAAGTGCTCGAAAGACTGAGGAACAGAGAAACTTTTAAGAGGAGCCAAACTGCAAATACAGTTCCACAATTCAACTATATGATTAAAGTACGAGGCCAGAAAGGTGTTAAATTAATAGGGGACAATACTTTCTTCAATTGTGAAAAAGACAAGTTCAGACCGACTTATAATCAGTTATCTCGGCCCACGTTTTTCCTATTATACATTCTCACATTTCACCTTCTGCTCATTCGTGCTTGCTTATCGTCGGGCGATGACATTGAAGGCTTGTTGAACAGAGAGAATATCTTTATACTCATGAGTAACAAAACCTTTTTCTTTTCGTAGGAAGTAGCAGAACCTCTTATGGACCTAAAAGAATCTATACGGGAATTGCAGAACAATGAAACTTTTAAGCACATCTTGGCAACTCTTCTGGCCATTGGAAATTTTCTTAACGGGAAGAAGGTTCGTGCATCAACCATAGTTTATACAGCTACATATTCTTACGATACCTTCTGTTACCAGTGTAGAGCTCGGAAGGTCACTGAGAAATAGGGCGATTCTTAAGAGATTTGTTTTGTATTTAAAAGGGACAAAAGGGCGAAAAATCCATTGTGCTTAATCCACCAAACAAAACCCAATCATATCCTAGGAATGTATTATTGTCCTCACAAAAAGCGTTGGTGTGCCAGATTAATAATGTGATTTTTGAGTTACGTTGTCAGTATGGAATTTTCGAGGCCAAAACCGTTGCCGAGATCGCGGTTCGAGCAATTGATGTCTCAGTTAGAAGATCAGCCCGTCTTCTCATATAAACACACCAAAATCGTGAGAGCACATACGACATGAGCTGAGCCAACGACCTGGCTAACTAACTAACTCTAAAGAAATGCGAACTAATCAGAAAGGCCGTTGTATTTCAGGTAAAGGGTTTTCAGTTAGACTACCTGGCAAAGGTGCCGGAAGTGAAGGACACTGTACACAAGCAATCATTATTATATCACTTGTGCTGTATGGTGATGGAGAAGTTTCCAAACTCTTCTGATTTTTACAGTGATTTGGGCGCCTTACATCGATCGTCCAGGGTAATGTGGATGTTCAGTCCTAGTAATATAATTGTCTATTATTTAAAGATCAAGTGCAATGATTTACTACAGAACCACGAATTTTGCCAGCAGGTTAAAAGTTTAAAAGTTCAGCGAATTTGTTTTTGCAAAACAGTAGTAGAGACAGAAAAGAAATTAACATAACGATCGGATGAGATTTAACTGAAACTATGATCTATTTTTAGGATCGTGCGGCTTTTCTGTGCGCTTCACTTAATCTTGAGTTAGCTACCAACCTGAGACTTCGTTTTTCTATCAATCCACGTTGCCAAATGACCTCCTTTGATTCATTACAATTCGTACTTGGCCCCGAGGCAAAACAAAAGAAATAGTCTTGAAGTTTAGTGATAAGTAATACGATTCTTTTATTTTATCCCCCCTAGCCTCGCAGCCTTGAAAAATTTCATGTATATCAAGATTAATTTAGTTGATCTTGTTCGTTGGCACTCTGGTGGCATTCCAATTAATTCTCTTTCTGTTATGATCGACCAGAATAGTCTCAGGCCCGGTTCAGACTCCGCTCCACTCATATAAGTAGGGCAAGAGAGCGTCGTCTGAATCAATTTGGTACGGCAGTTTTACTCTGTCAAACTTTTGTCGAACTTAACTTAGGCTTAGACACACGGTGCGCCGTCCGAATCAGATGTAGCGCCAGTGTCGCTCTAAAGTCGAACTTATTCAGTTAGGTTTGGCACATGAAAAGTACTGCGTTTGAACCAGGCCTCACTTAACTGGTTTAAGACAGCCGTTTGTTTACCGCTTCTGAAAAGCAAATTTCACTTTTTTTTCTTTATGACCGCTCACCCCTTTTCTTTCTACTTTACTTACAACCCTTGAGTTAGAAACTTATTCCAACGTTAATCTTTTAATGATGAACTTTCAGGTGGATTTTGACGTCGTGCTTGACAATTTAAAGAAGTTACGTGAGAATTGCAAAAAGTCGTGGGAGTACTTAAGCATTGTTGCTAAACATGATAGCGCCAAACAGTTCAAGAGCAAGTGAGTACCTAACTAAACTGGTCTTAAATTAAAACAACTGTTTTCGTTGCCAGGCGTCTCTGTAGTTGTGCGGGGCGCAAAGGAGGGCGCGATTGTGAAAGATGTTTTCCAGTTCTGGTTCCTCCTTCCTAAGATACCTGGCACAACGCGAGATTCCAGTCGCTCGCTTGCACCGTCCCGCGCGATCAAGCAAAAACCTTGCAGAGGGTACTATTCAATCCAAATGGGATTAAATTATACTTACAGTAATGATAGCCATATGCTTTTATGCTGGACTGGACTTCTGAACTGTTTTCAAGTTTTACGTGGTTATCCGAGTCATGCGAACCGGTGCAACCTGTATGCAGGTTTTATTATAGCAAACGCTCAGTGTTGATTCGACAGGAATTCATTCATCCCATTTCCTGGATAAAATCGAAACATGTTAATGGAGTTTTAACCTTATTTTTGGTGCTGATGGAAAAAGGCATAGATTTTTTTCGGTGCTGGTGGAAAAAGAGCTTAGATTCTTGGTGAGAATATTGAGAATATTAATACTTAATATTATTTCGCAGAATCGCACCAACAAATGGAATAAGCGAATCATCTTATGCGTAAGGAACTATCATATTTGTCATTTAAAAGGAGTTAGACTAGTGTGAACTTAATAATTTAATTGTTGTTCTTTTGCCAGAATGAGCGAATTCTTAGCCGATGCGCAGGAACGAAGCACGATTCTCAAGGTCGTCCACAGACGTGTAATGAACAGGTCAGTGGTCTTAGACGAGAATTTCCGAACAATGCTCGAAAGATTCCGAAAGGGCCCGAAATTTTTCCTGGACGTGTCTCATGCTTATACCAGATCATTGTTTTATTTATTCGTAGATTCCGCAAGATGTTGTTGTACTTAGGACTACAGACAAGTGCAGTTAATAACACAAAGGTAAAATTAAATTAAGAATTAGTTATACGAAGTTTGAGAGCCCTGTGAACGGATCTAGAAACTTGTGACCCCAAAGGTTCCACAAAACTTTGGGACCGCAGTTGGTACCCAGTCTCCCTCAATTTGTACAGTGGAGAATACCGTTTTTATATTAATCTTGTTTTTGCCAGGTCAACGAGTTTTGCAAGATTATAAGCGAGTTTTCCTTGGAGTACCGAACGACCAGAGAACGAGTGATTCAAATGAAGAAAAAGAAAGAAAACATGAGGGAGAGAAGCAAAACGAGAGGAAAACTTATCACGGAAACAGAGGTAACGGCAAACGATATTTGAGATTAGTAATAAGCAATTGTTTCACCCACGTTGCTGCAAAATGCTGGGGAGCTTATTAAGTTCTAGTATTTGTATAATCGTTGGCATCGCCCAAGTTGTTGTGAGACAATCATATGAAAACACCTTGACCTTTGATGCGATCCGGGACGATTCAGACGGTTGGGTGGTCGCAAGTCTCGCACAATCGAGGCGATTGAGACGGCCCGGAAGATTATTGACATAATCTGTAAAGTTATTTGAATAAAAATTCATTTAGTGTTCTTTTCCTTGTTACACACAGTCCTACTCGGCGGCAGCGAAAGTTTCCTCCGAGGAGAACATTGACGCTTTCCGCCGAGCGCTTATCTCTAATGGAGACGACACGGATAGTGCAAGAGAAAAGTTAAAAAGCGCAACACTACCAGGAATTCGAAGTAGAGGAAAAAGCGCCGGGCCATCACGTAACGACACGATGATGCATTCACAAGATGAATTCCCCGATGACAACACAGATGAAGTCATTAACACGCTGGCCAAATCTGCTACTGTACCAGACTCAAGAACACGAGTGCGCAAGCGTAATAGGGCCACCAATAGGAAGTCAGGTTAGTGTTATCAGAAGCTCCCAGGGAAAAGTGGCCAAAGTCAGAATTTCCAATTAAGAAATTTCCAAATTTCTTTTTGTGAAATACTGAAAACAAATAACATTACGTGAAAGAACTGGCAAGGAGAATTCGTTTGAATGGTCACACCGTAGTGTTTCGTCCACAGACTCCAAAGTGAAAACCACCTTACCGGGTTTCATTCACTAAGTCTGCAGAGCAGGCGCTATTTGTTCGCGTTTTTCGGGCAAACGAAGCACGAAGCGGGCGTAGAGCGCGAGACACGCGCGACGGGAGAACGTGCGGAAAATTTTTCTCTGTGCCTTCCCTGTCGTGTGTCTGGCGATCTTCGCTCGCTTCAAGCGTGCCTTCGCTCGCCTGAAGAACGAGAAAAAACTAAGGCCGCCCTGTTCTACAGGCCGGGTACACTGTGAGAGTAACCCTAACCCAGACCTTTCGTTTGACCGCCCGCGTGTTCTTGGCCAAGTTAAGACAAACAGCACTTCTTGATTTTCTCTGGAAAATGGAAAGAATGTCAGTTGATTTCAAGGTCCAGTGTTTAATTTTTATATAACGTTTGTCATTTGTTCTTGTTGTAGTTCGAAGAACGTTGAAAAGCGGTATCAGCCCGGAAGACATGGAAAAACTTACCAAGCAGGTTAATATTTTGGATAGCAAATGACGCTTGTCGACTTAACTTAATATACAGAATTTATCGTAATTATATTTTATACAAAGAAATAGTTCTATGTGATATTTTATTCCAAAGAAAGTCTGTTCTAAACAGGCTGGATGGTCGACTGGCGTGTTCTATAGTTCCTCAAGCCTGAGACCAAATTTGGATATTTGTAAATAAACTGTAATTTTTTAGGACCTTGTAAATTTAATGTTTTTCCACGCTGCTTTTGATACCAAGAAACGGCAGTCGATTGCCAAATTTACTGTATATTTTATAGTTACGAAATTGTTTCTCGTTAGGTAGAGTTTTAACATGTAATATATTTTTCTCATCCGGAGGGTCAGATAAACCTTGGAGTATTTTGAAAGGCAATAGATTCTCGGCTTTCCGGATTGCAGTTACCCGTGATTGTGGTGCGATCATATTTGTTTGTTTAACATCGACGCGCGCAGATTTTCAAAAGTTTTAACGATACCAGGCTGTGGTTGTTCAAGGCGATGAACTCATCAACCGTCACTCTCTGTAATTCATGAAAGACCAATATCAAATTTTATTTTGTAGCATGTAAAAAAAAAACAGTTATCTGGGCATATGATCAGTTTAAGACACGGAAGTTTTCGTAGGAACTTATTCACTGGTTATCGGACGGGGGAGTGCACAAGATGGCGATATATCCACGATCAGATATAACAGCCCAATTAGCTCCATTTATTTCAGCGAAAAAAAAAACTGCCCACACGTACGATTTCCTCCATGTGTGATTTTGGTGGGGATGGGACGAAACAGTTTTCTTTGCTAAAACTGAGGCCCGTTTCAAACGTCGAAGTATGCATATGTGGAGTTCGACAAACGCTTGAAACGTGCGGTAATCTGTATTACCGCCGTTTTCCGCCAGCGAGCAGCCAAGTCTGGGTGACTATAATCATTTTCTTGGATTTGTTGTACACGATTTAGTAAATTTTAAATTTTGATTGCGTATTGAAAGTCCTTTGTAATTTATTTATGTCCTTCAGAAGAGTTTGTTGTTTCGCTTTAATTCGCGGGTAGCAAGGATAGTTTATAGAGGGTATCTTGTAACTGTACCACAGGGAGTCCATTTCATATCATCCATATTTATACCTCAAGGCTTTTATTTTGTTAAGTGCAGCAAGGAGACAATTTATAAAAAATAATGTAATCCTTCGCAGTTCGTCTTTAGAGTCAACTTGTGCAATTGCATACGGCGAATAAAGGAGGAGTGCTCGTGATTTCCTTTCAGTTCGGTTTTCCAATACCCCGGGGTACTGGATTTGGGTGGAACAGGAAACACGGGTAAAATTGGCGGGAAAGAAAGATTCCGATGGGCAATTGCTTTGCCTTTCATGGAAGTCTCTTCGCTCCACCGATTTCAGTGCTTTTTTATCACTCTGACTAAGTGTCTCTGTGTGTCCGAGGTTGCTTGAGATTTTGGCTTCTGCATAAGGAACCAATGAGCCATATTTTAATGCCCTATTTACGTCAAACTTGTTGTCAATTTGTTATTTATATTTTTCAATATTTCCGAAACCACATGAAGAAGCCCTATAAAATCTCTGCCGGCAAGGTTTTAAGTTCTTAACACAAGGGTTCAATTTAGACTTATCTTATGTGAGTTGGGACTCTTAGATAATCAGCTTTACTCTGTTTTGGTAATGGACTTGCTGAATAACTTGAATTGGCTTTTTCCATGTTTTGAAACTCCTCACTTTGACTATGGGGCCGAGTGCAAAACCGAAATGGTCCGTTCCATTTGATTTCTAACCGAAATTTCCGGAATTTTGGGCTGAATGGAAAGCGTCCCCCCTTTTTTCGGAAATTGAAGACAATCGCTTTGGCCAGTTTTTAAAAACAGGCTATCTTAAAGACCAATCAGAACTTGTCAAGCGCGGGAAACCACGTGTCAGCAAGTCGCATTTGATTGATTGAGAAAATGAGACGATGTCTTCTTAACCAGTCATATAAAAGCTTACTAAATACTTGATTAAGACCCGCTCTTTTGATCCCTCTCTTTGATATCAGAGACAAACTCTGAGTCCCATTTAACCTTTGATCGGAATTTTTTCTGTAGCGCCGAGCACTTTTTAACAGTTGTTTTCCTCTTAAAAAATTTATGAAAAGTTATCATTACACCCAGGGGGGTTTATGATTAATATATGAGGTGCAGATTTTGTTCTTGTGAAAGCTTGACAAAGAACCTAAAAAGAGGTTCGTTGCATGCAATCAGCGAGAATTTATTAAATTTATTTCCTTTCTTTTAGCCTCAGTTTAACAAGCAGGTCTTGTACTGAACTATTAATTCCAAATAGAGAATTGCGGATTGATCTTACCTCGTATTTTGCATACGTTTTCTTTTAGATCTCACGATTGCTTCACTTAATCGGAGAAAGAAAAATTTATTTTTTTATAATAGAGGCAATTGTGATCACAAAGTATGAAACACGCCAGCGTGTACCGACAGTAAAGAATTTTAAGGGTATTGTAAACGGAGTTAGGTTGTCATGGTAATGTGTCAAGATTCTTACTCCTTTTTATACATAATAATATCAATAAATTAGGCACCATTCTATAGGATTAGCTCACAAATGACTATTTTTTCTTTCCAGTCTGTTTGGGTGTTCTGTAATAAAGACCCTAATATTTGAAGTATTTGTTTTCTGGTTTCTTTTCTTTCTTTTTTCGTATTTTTTGTGTTGTGTTTGACTTGGCTTCCTTGATTATCAACTTTCTTAAATCCCGCTGTTTTGAGAGTCGATGTTGAGACCCTTTGAAAACCCCGTTAGGTTTAGTTTGAACTAGTCTCTTGTTCTTGTTCTTTTATCAAATTTAAAACACAAAACACAGCCGAGTTAAGAACTAAGAGTTAATTGAACGGCTTACCCCCGGGATTTGCAATTTTTTTCTTTCTTGGTGGTCTATTCCCTAATTCCAAGCACGGAGAAAGAGACGATTCCCCATCCCCGAGCTCTTGATCGATCTCACAAACAACTTATAGAGAGCAATATTTATTTCCGTACCATAGCAAACCGAGACGTTCTGAATAGATCTTTTATAAACACTGTCTAGGGTTTATTGAAAGAAAGATAATACACGTATAATACAGTTAGCACATGAATACCAAATTTGTAAAAAGAAAACAAAGATAAAAACTCGTTAAGCGCTGTTCCTGGGTTTGCCCAGGGGTTGATAACAGGTCAAATTGAACCATTCATGAGCGAAATAGTATTCCCAGCACTAAAAAATGATAGCATTTGTGTTGTCTAAGGCCAGTAAAATAGAGGCTTTTTTGAGAACCGAGTGGCTCCATCTCTATCTGAGAAAATCCCGTCATTTGCCAGAACCAACCCAGAAGGGTTGTAGTCTACGTACGTTAAACATTGCAAGCTTTGGCCCGCAAATACCGCTGTCTCTCGTTGTTCCTTGCTTCAAGGGGCGCTTCGCGGAGCCTGGGACGTCTGGAGTTCGGCTCGGCAAATTCACCAATCTACACTCATCAGTATGGACGTCTCTTCCGCGACTGACTGACGTGCTAAGTAGTGAGGAGCGAGGAGACTGGGGCTGTATTCGCAGGCTATGTAAGCTTAAAACAACTACAATAAAAAGGCGCAAGGCCGATATCGAATGAAGGATCAACCTTTGAGATGATATGGCTGTTCGACGAGGTTTTAACACGGAGTGACACCGATGACAGCCAAATCCTCAGTTTTGCGAAAACCTGCTGATGCGAACATGCATGAACTTGTCAGACCTACTACCTTGCTCTACAACTGTAATCTCTACAACGAGAAACTGTAAAGATTACAGAACCTTTATAAGACTTTCAAGGAATTTTTTAAGAAACAGAGTACAAAGCGATTAGTTAGTTTTACTGTAATTGGATTCCGTTTATCTTGCTTCTACTGTATGATTTGTAAATAACTTAATTTGATTTATTTTGTAATTGTAATTAATGTAATTTATCAGGGAAGAGCCACCCAGTGGATCTGTTAATAAATCATTATTATTATTATTATTATAATTTAAGCGAATTAATTGTAAATAGGATTTTAATAGTTAGCATTGTTATCAATAAAATTATTATTATTATTATAAAAAAAGGAAGGTTCAAATTGTAAATAGTGTTTTTGAATGAATAGTTTTTTCTTTTTTTTAAGCGAAGTAATTGTAAATAGGATTTTAATAGTTTTTTTTAATAAAATTGTTTATTATTTTTTTTTTTATAAAAAAAAATTATTATTATTATTATTATTATTATTATTATTATTATTATTATTATTATTATTATTATTATTATTATTATTATTATTATTATTATTATTATTATTCACTGAGAGAAATTTAATAAAAGAAGAATAGGATGCATCCTGAGAGATCCATGGCGGAAATCTGGTTGGGATGTTAAGCGTAAAAACGCCGTGGCAGATCGGGGCGGATGGGCACCAACCTCGTTCCAAGGGTACTCTCCTACTGGACGGAGCACCTCAAGTTCCCAGTTCAGTTCCAGGATTTTTTTGCCTTTTATTTTGCAACATCGAAAACAGGGAATTCATATGCTTCTGTAATTTTTGTGGTGAGAGGAAGGTTCAAGTTCATTTTACTTCCCACTATTTATAGAACATGGTGAATTGAGGGAGTCATGAACATTACGAAAGTCATCTTTTGAATATTTCAAGTATTACAGGTAGTGTTTGGTCAGCTGTTTGGTACCATGATCACCCTTTCGAATTGACCATCACACCCATAAAGCTCCTCCACTGACCCCTCCCTTTCGCTTTTCCAACGATTTACCAGTCCTGACCAGATAAGTTACCCTGGCCATGGGTTTCCGAAGATGAATGGAGTAGTAACGACTTTTTTAACTCGAGATTTTCCCCAAACTCCTCGACTCTTAGAATGTGACAAGGCGATTCACGATATAACACATGATATAACAGATGAACAGCAGAGAACCCTGTAGACTTAAAAAAGGGACGTTTTTGGAGCGGCTCAGCGGCGAAGGCACGAGCGTCTAGGGGGGTGTGGGGACATGCTCCCGGGAAAATTTTAAGATATGTGCCTCTAAGATACAAACATTAACCACAAAGGACTGAAAAGGGCCATTGTATATACAATATTTTGGGCCTTAGATCCCTTATAGATCCGATATGCTGTAATTTTTGCGTGGTTCTGTCCATATTTTTGAGGTTGGTTTTGGCCAACCCTTTAGTGTCTCTGCGAGATATCAACTTGACACTTGGACTCTTGCCCTCCAGAAGACACGTGATGGCGTGATTCTGTGGGAGTTCTGGAGTTCCGTAGTACGCGGAGATTTTAAATCTGCATTTACATCTGCATTTACATTTGCTTCTTTTCTTTGCCGAAGAGCTACAATAATAGCGAGAAAACTGTCTATGGCTACAATCCTGCTCTGTTTTTAGTTTTTTCGGTGTCGTGTTGACGTCTTGCAGAGTTAATTTTCACGTAGTACGATCAGCATTGCAGTATTCTGCTTGCAGAATTTCAAAATGCCTCTAAGATGCCATTTCCTGCATTTTGGGATCACAGTCAATGGAAACATCGCGCCCAAAATTATCACAGGCTCATGGTCGGATGCCAAAGGGGTAAAAGTGGCTGAGAAACCACAGAAAATCGGCAAAGAAGCCGGGGGGGGTGGTACTTTAGGAATTTCTGGGTGGAGATGTGCCGCTGGGACCCTGAAACCCTGAACCTATACCCAGAGCTACAATAGTTCAGCTAAACTTTGCTACCCTATACTAGAGTAAACTCCCCAAATCCCCCCTATCCTAGAGTAGCTGTTTTCCAGAAGCTACTGAGGTCACTAGCACAGTAGTCTAGCCAAAACNGGCGGATGGGCACCAACCTCGTTCCAAGGGTACTCTCCTACTGGACGGAGCACCTCAAGTTCCCAGTTCAGTTCCAGGATTTTTTTGCCTTTTATTTTGCAACATCGAAAACAGGGAATTCATATGCTTCTGTAATTGCTGTGGTGAGAGGAAGGTTCAAGTTCATTTTACTTCCCACTATTTATAGAACATGGTGGATTGAGGGAGTCATGAACATTACGAAAGTCATCTTTTGAATATTTCAAGTATTACAGGTAGTGTTTGGTCAGCTGTTTGGTACCATGATCACCCTTTCGAATTGACCATCACACCCATAAAGCTCCTCCACTGACCCCTCCCTTTCGCTTTTCCAACGATTTACCAGTCCTGACCAGATAAGTTACCCTGGCCATGGGTTTCCGAAGATGAATGGAGTAGTAACGACTTTTTTAACTCGAGATTTTCCCCAAACTCCTCGACTCTTAGAATGTGACAAGGCGATTCACGATATAACACATGATATAACAGATGAACAGCAGAGAACCCTGTAGACTTAAAAAAGGGACGTTTTTGGAGCGGCTCAGCGGCGAAGGCACGAGCGTCTAGGGGGGTGTGGGGACATGCTCCCGGGAAAATTTTAAGATATGTGCCTCTAAGATACAAACATTAACCACAAAGGACTGAAAAGGGCCATTGTATATACAATATTTTGGGCCTTAGATCCCTTATAGATCCGATATGCTGTAATTTTTTGCGTGGTTCTGTCCATATTTTTGAGGTTGGTTTTGGCCAACCCTTTAGTGTCTCTGCGAGATATCAACTTGACACTTGGACTCTTGCCCTCCAGAAGACACGTGATGGCGTGATTCTGTGGGAGTTCTGGAGTTCCGTAGTACGCGGAGATTTTAAATCTGCATTTACATCTGCATTTACATTTGCTTCTTTTCTTTGCCGAAGAGCTACAATAATAGCGAGAAAACTGTCTATGGCTACAATCCTGCTCTGTTTTTAGTTTTTTCGGTGTCGTGTTGACGTCTTGCAGAGTTAATTTTCACGTAGTACGATCAGCATTGCAGTATTCTGCTTGCAGAATTTCAAAATGCCTCTAAGATGCCATTTCCTGCATTTTGGGATCACAGTCAATGGAAACATCGCGCCCAAAATTATCACAGGCTCATGGTCGGATGCCAAAGGGGTAAAAGTGGCTGAGAAACCACAGAAAATCGGCAAAGAAGCCGGGGGGGGTGGTACTTTAGGAATTTCTGGGTGGAGATGTGCCGCTGGGACCCTGAAACCCTGAACCTATACCCAGAGCTACAATAGTTCAGCTAAACTTTGCTACCCTATACTAGAGTAAACTCCCCAAATCCCCCCTATCCTAGAGTAGCTGTTTTCCAGAAGCTACTGAGGTCACTAGCACAGTAGTCTAGCCAAAACAAAACCTTATACCACAGTCCCTAGACTAGATAAAATCTTCAACCAACTGATCAGTTTCCTGAAAAATGATACCCTATATTCTAGACCCAAACGCTCTGATTTATATACCCTATCCTAGAGTAAACTGCTTGAAAACCATACCCTTTGATGCTATAAAAAAGACTGGTTAAAAAAAGAAATAGAAGAGTTAAAAAAAACCTTGAGAATATCAAGCGAAAACGGGAGGTTTCCGGTCAAAACGGGACTGGAGGGTTGGAATCTCTGGAACAAAGGTTAATTCCATTCATGAATTAGGGTAAGTCTTCATGTAAATTCGTTTTCATCTGTTGCAACGGCTCCTTTTTCCTCGATTGCTTTTTGTTATTTTTGCCCGGCCACTTAATAGAGGTTTGACTCATTTTCTTGGTTCATCGAGCTGTCATCTTTAAGTTTGAGCTGTTTTTATCATGGAATTTTTTGAAAGAAATTGTATTCTCAAGTGTTCACCAATCCACGGTTACAGCCCAGGATTTGGCGCGAATCTTTGCTCACGTGATCAGCTGGACGCTCTCCTGCTCGCATGTGCGCTTCGTAGTTGCACAGTGTGAGTTTTGTACCGGTCCTTTACACGAAAAGTTTGTGTTGTTTCCTCCCGCTCGTTTTTAGCAGCTTGGCTATCCCATCGCCTCTTCTTTGGCCTTCGTCGTGGGGATTACGATGCCTGTTCTTTCAGCGGTAAGTTTAGATTCTTCCTGCCAAGTAAGCTCGTTTCAACTGAAGCTGAGCTTATGTAATAAGCTTAATTACACGAGCTTACTTTCGATGAAACTTTTAACAGCTTTTAAAACTTGAAGTTTGTTGTCTTTGAAATCAGACACGAACTGCCCTTAGGCTTTATTGACTCCACAAACCTGACCCACTTCGATTAACCTGAACCTTTTCTTGGCATTGTTGTGTAAAGCTGTGGTTTTTGTGGCTCGGAGCTGGATCGTCTTTCATTTGAAGAGGCCCTCATCGTAGTAGCTCCTCTTTGGTTTTTCCCTTAAATTTTAAAATAAAAAGACTTTGAATATGCCTTGTCTCATGGTATATATTTTGAGTGATGTCGTGCCAACTGCTTACTGTTTGGGAAACCACTTGAAGGTTTGAGAATGTTAACCATTTTTGGCGTTGTTTGATGAATTATCAGGGCTCTTGATCTTAACAAACCCAAGTAATAATCGCTTGTTTCTTGACTATGGGAAGGTTACTCTTTGGGTTAATTTTACCTGAATTTTTGTAGCAAGCTGTTAGCATGTCTTGACGTTTATTTGTTTTGCATGAGTGCTGTTATCGTTTAACACTAAACACTGGAAGACGCTTTACCTTTACATACTCCATTTTATACAGCCTGAAAAATGTGGTACATTTGCTCAGACGTTAAGGATTAATCTTATGTGTTTACATGTTTTTCACATGATTCATTGGTACACTGACTTACAAAATTAAACCATAAGAATATAGCTGTACATCATGAAAAAGATCAAAATTTGAGGGTACTACAACTAAAACTGACCAAGTCACGCTGACCAGAGTGTACTCACTTTTCTTGAGTCTCAGATTTCAGCAGGTGTAGTGTAGTTCAGGCAGTTAGGGAACTTGATCAGAATGTTAGGTAGGTGTCCATGCATGTATTTATTTCCACATTTGTGGGGGACATTGGGGGGTACGCAGAACCGTAATCACATACATGTAAGAAAAATTACCATACCAAAAATCAACTAAATACCTATATTGCATTTAAGATCGGTCACGTTTACTGAAAGCTGTATCCATCTCGTGTGTTTGTTTATCGCAAGCACATATGCACCAAAAATCAACCTCGGCCATTGCAAGAAAATGTGAGAAGACATTGAATTTATCAGTGTAATGATAAAAACCTCAGTCATTGGATACAACAACAATTCCATTTTAGATTAATTGTCAAAAATAGTGTAATCAGTTACCCTTACGTCTAAAGAGTTAAAAAATATTAACTTTAATGAATCTGTGTAGCTTACTGTGGTTTGTGTTGCATAATTTGTTCTGGCTTTTGTTTTCGGGTCTGCATTTTCAGGGGTTAGGCCTTAGGTCTTCATTTTCAGGGGTCTTCATTTTTGCAGTGCTATGAACAGTACTGCAATATCATGAAGAACACGGTCACCCAAAAGGATGAAAAACAGCCTGTCACAGGGCTAGATGATGTTGCAATACTGCACATTAAAATAGAAATTACTGACAAAATGTACAGCTTTAAAAAAGCTCAATACCGTAATACCTTAAACCCCAATGTCCCCCTCACATTGAGTTCTACTCATGTTTTAAAATAATATTATTGATACCTGTTAAAATTAAACCTACATGTAACATTTTAAGGTTATTTTTTCTTATCTTTTCATAAAAGTAATTATTGAACACTTTGAAATATATTCTTATAATTATTAAAGCAATGTGGGTCATTGTAGATTGTAAATTATTGGAGAGGTGCTAATGCAACATCACCGCTTGGAGCTGATCAAGCGCAATGCAGTTCTAAAAGTCACCAGGAAGAAGCTTGCGTACTTTCTTCAGTGAAAGGTGTTCAGAATGGAGATGAAAATATGATGAAAAAAAGACAAAATAACAACGAAAAGGTTAGAAATCTCTATTAATTTTATTCTTCACCGCTCATAGAAATAATATGGCTGAATGGCAATTTGCATTCTAATATGTCTGCTGTTGAACATTAAATGACCTGATTGTTTAGAAGATTTCATTTGACAGATGTCTCAGCGTGCAAAGAAAGTCGTGTCCAATAGCCCAGGACTAGTGGATTTTGCTACTGGGTTAGTTAATTTTGTTCTTAACATGCCTGATGGGCAAGTGCTGCTTTTTGGGAAAATTCAAATTACAGAAGGATTGTAATCAATCATGCTAATCAAAAAGGGTTTGGGGGCTAGTTGAAATGACTTATGGGCTAGTGCATGCTAGCTACAGCTTGCCCAAACTGACTTTCTTTGCACCCTTTGTCTTAATGATTAATCAGGAAATCAATGTGGCTAGTTTTTGTGACTGTTAATTGCTTTATCAAAGCCACACTTAACTTTAATTCCTTGATAAATACAGTGGAACCCTGTTAATACAGTCACCAAGGAAAAAAATTGGCCGTAATAACGACGTGACCGTATCACCGAGTTGGCCGTAAGGTGGGGTTCCACCGTAAAATGCTATCCTGAAGGTCTTTTTTCTGACACCCACTGCATGTATCTACATTCACTTCAATTACCTTACATGACGGTTGAATGACCATCAATATTTTGCAGTTCACTGATAAAGAGGAGCTCAATGAAAAGGAAACTCAGATGTCAGTCAGTCCCATTGGCAATAGTGATGCACAACTGGTGAATCTAAATTCAGTAGCAATCAAAGATGTTGTTAAGGTCAATCAAAAAGAGGTAATTTGCCTGGGCAGGAAATGGGAAACACTATGCTGTTATTGTGTAACATTTTGTAACAACAAAATACAAGCGACAACATTCATTGGTAAAGAATGGACATCATTATTTTGCAGTTCACTGATAAAGAGGAGCTCAATGAGAAGGAAACTCAGATGCCAGTTAGTTCCACTGGCAATAGTGATGCACAACCTGTGAATCTAAATTCAGTAGCAATCGAAGATGTTGTTAAGGTCAATCAAAAAGAGGTAATTTGCCTGGGAAGGAAATGGGAAACACTACGTTGTTATTGTGTAACATTTTCTAACAACAAAAAACAAATGACAACATTCATTGGTAAAGAATGACCATCATTATTTTGCAGTTCACTGATAAAGAGGAGCTTAACGAGAAGGAAACTCAGATGCCACTTAGTCCCATTGGCAATAGTGATGCACAACCTGTGAATCTAAATTCAGCAGCAATCAAAGATGTTGTCAATCAAAAAGAGGTAATTTGCCTGGGAAGGAAACGGGAAACACTACGCTGTTATTGTGTAACATTTTCTAAAAACAAAAAACAAACAACAACATTTATTGGTAGAGAAATAAAGTCTAGGTTGCTAGAGAGAAAAGAGAGTACTTTCATGTAGCACATAGTAGCAAGACAGTGCTACTCAGTGTTATACATGCACGTCCCTTTACCCTAATTTTTTTTATAACTGTTTGTTGGGGAGTGCAAAATGTTTGTGTTAAAAGAGTCTGTATTCTCCCCTTTTGGTTTGGCATCTGAATATGCATATTTGTCAGCTTGCAATGGCTTTTTTCAGGTGAACGGTGAACTCAGTCAGTTATTGGCTGATATGGCAGAGAACGAAGTAACGGCAGCAATGGAGGAAGAAGAAAGAGCTATTCATGAACAGACAAGCAAAGAGCAACAGGAAATGATGCACAAGGTAAAACTATGGTATCATAATGTATTATCAGTTCATATGCAGGAATTTACATTGCATATCACCCAAAAAGCAAAAACAAACATTTTTAAAGAGTATGTGAACAAGTACCCAAAGTTCATACTTATTGCTGTGACTCATATCAACCTCGAAACACAAAAATGTCAGGAGCAAGTGAAGGTTCAGCAATACCCCCTTGATGGCCTTGATTGATGAATCATTTATTATCATTATTGAATGCATTATTGACCACAGGCTGAGCAGGAGTGGAACAGTATTGAAGACAAGCAGAGATTTCTAAGACTGCAGCATTTATTGGAAAAGTCCCACATCTACTGCCAGTTTCTCTTGGAAAGGATGGAAAGTCAGAAGAAGGAAACACAAAAACAGCAAGAAAGGTTGGCAAAGAAATTGGAAAAGAAGGAGAATAAAGAGCAGAATACTTTTCAACAGGTACATGTGAGGCATAATTTGCAATTGCAGGTTGTGTAGCCCCTTTATGTGGCTTCCAAGTGGCTGAACATGACTGTGGTTGTCTTGTGTTTGCCCTAGGAATAGAGGTAAAGCTTTAGTCTCCGAAGACAGAGATGGCTGTTTCTGCATGGTGGTTGTCTACATTGAAACCACACTTTTGACAATTAAACATTATCAAGTACCAAAAGTATGCATGGGTGGGAAGTATCTGATCATGTAAAACAATTAAACATTTTTTTTCTTTTAAACTTTTTGCACTCGTAGGACAGTTAAATTTATGAAAACTTAACGTTGCGGCAGTATGTTCTTTATTTTTTCTTCCTGTTAATCTGATGTTTTACATTATTTTTTTTCAAGGTGCCACTGGCAGAGCCAAGGGTGACAAGAAGAGCAAGAAAAAAATTAACAGGAAACACCAATAGTCCTCATACTGATCAAACAGTACCTACAAAAGCAAAGCGAGGTACAAGAAGAAAGGCACAGGAGTCGTCATCCTACATGATTTCTGAGTATCTTGATAGAGAGGTAAATTTTTATCAAAGAAGGCAAATACTGTACACATGGGGATTGCCTTGCATCAAGTTTTGAAATTTTTGTTATTTATGAGACATAATTATAAATTCTACAAATGAGTGGAAGAGGTTCAAAATTTGTTACAGTTTGTACATAAAATTTTGATAATGCCGTGGTTTTTGTTTGCAGTCATTAGCCAAAAGGCAGAAGTTGATGGAAGAGGGGGACATCAGAGAAAAAGCACAACTCACCATGAAATCCACCAGTGAGCCACATGCAATGCCACAAGTGAATGGGGAACAACAACAGCATGGGCATATTGTAAGCTTATGGCACAAATGTTAAAAATGTTCCCTTAGCATACAACAAACAAGTAGTG